GGCAACTGCTGAGATTTTCGGCTAGTTGGACCTGTTGTCTTATCTTTCAGACTCTTAATAAAATTCGCCTTGGGCTTTCTTCCAAGTCTGTTTCTAAATTCTTTCATTAATGAGACTAAGAACTTAAAGTGTGAACCTTGATTTCCCTGTAACTATTGCGTGTGAATTGTGACTGATTTAACATTTTTTGCTTAATTTCTTGTTTTGCATTTATTAGTTCTCTTTGGCCCTGGAATAGCAATATAAAGCTTAATTAAGAATAGATTCTGCTATTTCTTATTTTGCCCTTTTTGGATCATAGGACATATTCAGTTTCATGTTTAATTATGTAAGTCACAAGCAATATTTTTGGTCATTGTTTGCCATCATGTTGACCTGTCTGGAGCCTAGTGGCTAAAACTGATACAGAATAGACACCATCACAGCCACAGTGTAGCCCCATTGTCTGCTTGTTCCTTTTTAGACAGGATCTGAAGGTACTAGAGACGGAGCCTAGGGAGTCTGGGCCCATAGGACGCAGGGGTTAGGTTCCTTCAAAGGAAACATAAGACATAATTTCAGAAAGGCCATGATGTTAGCATAAGGTCGTGAATTTGAGGGACACTGCTGTGTTGTGAATCTCCAGTTTTACCTACAGGTTTGTGTCTGAGTGCTTGGTCTTCAGTTGTGTCTTACTGTCATTTCTGTTGTTGTGATAAAATACCCTGATAGAAAGCAACTTAGAGGAGAGAGGCTCATTTTAGCTCACCATTCCTGATATGTCCATTGTTGTGGAGAAGTCCAGGTAGCAGGGACTCAAGGCATTTAGTTGCATTACACTGATAGCCAGAATCAGAGAGAAATGGATGTGAACACGCTGCCTGCTTTTGTGTTCAGCTTATTTTCTCCACTCTTACGCAGTTCGTGCAGCTGAGCTACTGGTGTAGTGCATAGAGACCAACTATGCTGTTCAGTGTCTTGCCATACACAGAGCAGCCTTTACCACAAAGATTGTTTTTTTCCAAACTTGGATTATTGCTGCAGTGGAGAACTCCAGTCTCGGATGAGAAGCACCAGATACTCTGGTACTTCCTGACCTGAGCAAGGCTTGAGTGCTGTTGGAACACCATGAGCATCATCAGAGCTGCCATCCTGGAGAAGGCTTCCAGGGCAGATTTAGCAGGGTTTAGACAGTAGGAGAGCTCGGGAGAATGACCGTCAGGCAGGAACAGTGCAGAAGTTGAGAGACTTGGCGGAGGCTGGCTGGTACCCTGGTTTTAATAATCAGTAAGAGTTTGACATCAAGTAAGACTATAAAGAAGCAAGGTTATTAAACACTGCAGTCTGAAGCAGTAATCTAGGAACATGCCCAGAACAGTAATTAGTGTTCACGGCAACAGAAAAAAGTGTGGCAACTTCTGTGATGATTTTTTTATTTCTTGCTGTGCTGGGGATTAAAACCAGAGCTTTTCCTATGGTAGGCAAATGCTCTACCACTGAGCCACATTTCCAGCTCAGAATTTATTAGAGGTGAGTTTTGTCTCATGTGATACTGGAAAGGCAAATGCAGGGTAGAAACATCTTGGCCAACATACTTGAAAATTACAGATATATTTTTAAAGTATAAACCCTCTTACTTAGAAATTTCTTTTACAGGAAATGTCTCATTATTTGTGACCTCTAGTAAGTGAAACCCTGCTATATTATGCTGTATTTTACAAACATATTTTCAAAAATCCTCATTATCATTGGCCTCTAGTAAGTAAAATAAAGTAAAACCTTGCCATATCATGCTCAATGCTTGTAAACAATTTCAAAAACTATTAGAAAGTTTCTGTCCCTCCTTATCCTGAGGGTTTTGTGGTCCTTAGAAATCTCTTCTACTTATAGAGAGTAAAAGAGTTTTTATTTTGTGTGTGTGTGCATACGTGCATGCATGTGTACGTGTGTAGATGCCTGGGATCGACATCATGCATCTTTCTTTACTTTTTGAGACAGCTTTGAGCTCAGGGATGACATTACAAGTACATATTGTACCATTATGCCCTGCTTTTATAAGGATTCTGAGGATCTGGATCAGGTCCTTCTGCTCAGCCTACCCGTCTTCCAGCCCTCATGTTTTGTTTGTTTTTCAGTTGTTCTTAAGAGACACCATTACCAAGGCAACTTTTAGAAGAAAGAGTTTGTTGGTGCTTACAATTTAGAGGGTGAGTCATGACTATCATGGGCAGGGAGCATGTGAGCAGGCAGGCATGGTGCTGGCGCAGTCATTGAGAGCTCACATCCCGAGACACAACAGTGAGACAGAGTGTGGGGAGGAGGGAGAGCACACAGTAAATAACTAGGGATGGTTGTGGGCTTTTGAAACCACAAAACCTATCCCTGAGTGGCACCAAAACAGTTCCACCAACTGGGGACCAAGCATTCAAATATATGAGTCTGTGGAGGCCGTTCTCATTTGAACCACGACATCTCATCTTTAATTTTCCAGTAGCTGAAAATATTACAATATACTGCTGCAGTTTATGGCTTACTTGCTACATTGGTCAAATATTTTGATAATACAGTTTTAAAAGGAAAATTACTAATAAAAATACATACAGTTCAAAATACAATGTTATGATATTTCTTTCTATTAATCTTTCATAAATATAAATTTTAAAGCATAGTGCACACTTCTGGTTTTTACCTTTAATTCAATACACTCATATTCCATTAAAATAATTTAAATTTTAGGTTCCCCTTATATACTAAAGCTTGGAGTTATTATAAAGATTATTTTTGAAGTTTAGTAATATAAGTTTTATAAAAATACTTTGTAGTTTCTAGTCTGGAATGCAAGAAACTTAGAGATTACTCCCTTTTGTTCCTCTGGTAAGAAAAATACTTTAGTTTTTTTCTTTTTTAAAAAAGAAAGTCCCTGACTTAAATCCTATATTTATCACAAGGCAGACTGCTGCCCTACATGCAGAGACAAACCGGTGGATATAGAGGTTCGCCATTGTTAGCACAGCAGACCCTGCTCCATGGTTACCTAGCACTGGGTTAATCAGCATACCATGGGCGACAATTTGGAGAAAAACAAACATTACAAACATGCTTAGGTATAACATAGATATGAGAATTAATAGCTTACAACTCCAATTACATGTCAAAGGCTCTAATGGAAACAATACCTGACATATTAACAAATAAGTGTTGTAAATGAACATTGTATCCTACACCTTCCTGTTCCATCCCATCCCATCCAGCATTTCATCCATTCTATCCCTGTATCACATTTTATCTCAGCATTCTCTGTCATCCCATCTAGTTCATCGTTTTGTTCCGTCCCATCCTAAAATTACGTCCCATTCCAAAATTCTTTTCCATACCAGTAACCTGCTCTTTCATCTGTGTTGGTTGGCTTCCTGTCACTATGATGATATACCTGATACAATTATAAAGAGAAAAGGTTTATTTTTGGTCATATTCTAAGGTTTGGGGCCAGGCAGCACGGCATGGCAGGCATGCGTGGAGGAGCAACACCAGTTCTCTCATGTTCCAGGGAGCAGGAAGAAACAGAACAGAGGCGAGGATCCCGTAGTCTCTTTGAATGTGTGTCCCAGTGGCCTGAGGGCTAGGCCCCACCTTCTAAAGGTCCTCTGCAGCCCCCAGTAGCACCACCCTGGATAGCAAACATTTAACACAGTAGCTTTTGTGGGTCACTCTATGTCCAAGCTACAGTAGATGCTGACCTGAACGTCTCATGGACTTTGGCACCTGCAATGTGTTCAGTTCTAGAAGCAGGCTAGGTACCATATACTGTGGTCCCCTTCTTCTGGGACCAAAAGTACAAGGGTCCCGTGGTAGATACAGCAAGTGTTGCAGTCATCCTCTATATGAAAATCACTGCATCCCTGACTTTTGATGGATAGAACATAGTGTAAATGCAGGAGCAGACAGAGGATTATAATACAGTCCCCTGTATCTGTGATATATGAAAACTTGAAATATCTAGTCTTTAATAATCTGATCATCAGAAAGATGAGCGTGTTAGAGGGAATCCTGAGGGTACTGATGGACAAATGGAGGCTATGAAGCGTGTGATGGTTTAAATGAGAATGCCCCCCTCCCCCGCACTCGTATAGGCTCATATATATGTGTTCTTAGTTTTTACTTGATGAACTGTTTGGGAGGATTAGGAGGTGTGTTATTGCTGGCAGGTTTTGAGGTTTGAAAAGCCCATGCCAGGCCCAGTTCCGTTCGTCCTGTCTGTCTGTCCATCCTTGCTGCCTGTGGATCAAGGCTATATAAAGCTCTCAACTGTCTGCTTTCCACTCTTAAATTGTTAACAAGCCCCCAGTTAAATGTTTCCTTTGGAAGGAGCTGCCTTGGACTTAGTCTCTTTGCAGTAGTAGAACAGAAAGATAAGATAAAGAGGAACTGAAAGCTTACATAGAGCCACTGGTTGCTATAATCTATCCAAGACTGCTGTCCATGGGCTAAGATTGGGATGAGATTCAGGGCTCATTTGGGGCCAGAAGTGAGATCAAGGAGTAACCAGTCATGAGACCATGGGCTCTAAGAGACCTTAGAGAGCTTGCATCACTGTGGAATCCCTGCCTCGTTGAAAACAGTAGGGCTAAACAAACATCTCTGTAATAGAATGAATATAGAAATTTGAGCTGCGTACTCCATATTTCACATGTTCAGGACTCTAGGAACAAGAGAAAAAAAAGACAAATACATTTCACATATAAATACCTATTTTTTTAAGTATAAAGAGCACCATAAGCAATATGAAAGAAAGCCAAGGATTAATCTGGGCAGGGTTTACAGGGACAGAGGGCTAATGTTCTTGCCAGAGATTTTATTCTTTTGTTATTCATTTATTTATTTGAGATAAAAATCTCACTATGCAGCTTAGACTGGCCTTGGAATGTAATCCTAGCTTTTCTTAAACCTATGATCCTCCCTGCCTCTGGCTCCCAGTGTTAGAATTATTGGCATGTGTCACCAGCCAGACCTTTCCAGAGATCTTAAAAATCAAGCAACAAACTCCAGAAAAAGCCATGAAAGTAAAATTGACATACATACCGTGCAAGTTGAACCTAAGTTATTCTTCCCATCGCATTGCTACATACAAAATAGATTGTTAGGTAATGGTGCTGGTGGGAAGTCATGTTGATAGAATTTTCTCTACGACAGTTTGGTAACATAGAAGAGGTTTATGTGTACATGGTATGACCAGGAGCTCCCCTTTAAATTTAAGCAAGTAAATATTGACAATATTGTGTAACAACTATTCATTGTTAGTCTAATAATAGGGCAAAATTGGATCGTGTGAGTTCCTCTTGTGGAATAATTACTTTATCAGTATAATGGAAAATCAAGCAGTCACAAAAAATGATATAGACTTGTTTTTGTCTAGTGGTATGGAATGATGTCCATTATATATGTAATTTAGGTGCAAATATCAGGTTGTAAAGTGCATGTCTAGTCTAATTTACTTTGTATGACATGTAGTGACATTTGCAAGTAATGTCCAGATTGAACAAGACTATATATATTTGGTATATGCATGTACCAAAATGTTTTTAAAAGGGCTGGTTATCTCAATGATGCTTTAAATTATGGTCACACTGTAGAGTGTCCTTCTTATGAGATGACCGGAAGCAGTGAAGCATTCAAATAGGGCAGGCAGGTGGAGGTCGGGAGGTGAGGATGGGCCCAGAGGCCATCTTCCCATAGCATTTGCCCTAAGTGGCCTCAGATGGAAGTGGGCCTGCACGCAGGTGGAACCCAAGTGTAGTCAGTGCAGGGGCTGGAGGGAGCGGAGGCAGGGCGCACCCCAGGCTGGGTAGGTGAGCCAGCTGCGCCCCGGGCCAGAAGGGTAAAACCGGAAGGGTATGCGGGCTGCACCCGGGCCGGAAAGGTGAACCAGCTGGCTTCTCTGTCAGCTTTCTCTAAACAGTACTCCGCCTACCAGCCGGGCGCCATGAGGTTTCGGGCCAGGATCACCAGCAAGAGTGTTCTAGAACTCTTTATCCAGGTCAGCGGCACCGTCACAAAGCTGGCGAAGGTCTGTGTGCTCCGCGTGTGTCCGGACAGGCTGTGCTTCTGCCCCACAGGCCTTCCTGGTGAGGCCCGGCTGTGGGGTGAGGTGAAGCGGGGCGTCTTCCACCACTTCTGCATGGAGGGTGTTTCGGAGGAGTTCAATGAGATCTATCTAGAGCTGATGTCTGAGCATCTGGCCAGAGCCGTAAAGAATGCGGGCAGTGCTTCATCCCTGAAGCTCCAGCTCACCAACAAGCTTCGTCCCTGCCTCACTGTGGTGGTGGAGCTGCCGTCGTGTCCTGGCCACACCCGCGCCATGGTCCACGATTTGCCTGTGAAGGTGCTTCCTAGAAGGTGGTGGAAAGAGTGCACCGAGCCCCGAGTTTGGGCCTCTGATGTGAGTGTTTATCTGCCATCTTTGAAGACCCTGAAGAACATGGTGGAGAGGATGGCAAACGTGGGCGATCGTGTGCTGGTGGAAGCAAACCTAAATGGCAAAATGAACTTGAGCGTAGAAACTGATGTAGTGACAATTAAAAGCTATTTTAAAAATCTTGGAAATCCTCCAAAGGCTGTTACGGGTGCGACTCAAGGTGAAGACCCAGAGAACATGGTGCAAGTGAGGGTGGACAATAGGAAGCTGCTACTATTTTTTGAAGGACAGCAGATAAACCCCACGGTGGCTCTATGTAATATTTTGAGCAATACTCTGCTTCATCTTGTTTTGGTTCACGATGGTGTCTCTCTTCAGTATTTTATCCCTGCTTCATAAATAGTCAAGCAGTCCTGCTTTTCTTTTTCAAAGAAATCTTAATTCAGGATCTTTCCAGAACTGAAACTGAGTTACTTGAATGAAAAGCCTGCTCCCGGTGGATTATGTAGGGTGTTTGCTTTGTTGAGTGCTCCTTCTGTAAAATGTTAGGAAACAATGGAGAAAAAATTGAATAGTTCGTTTGTCTGCTTTTTGGCTTTGACAGTTAAATTATATTCAACTTTGTTGTTTTGCAAAAAAGGATCGCAATAAAAAATAGCTGAATCATGAAACAATTGTGTTACTTTATTATGAAATACTATTGTGAAGAATGAGAATTATCTCCTCTTAAACATATATTATTTTGAGAGACTTTTAACTTAACAAGCTCAGTTTCTTTGAAAAGTATAAGATGGATTTTGTACTTGTGTGTACATATTTATTAGCATATTATTAAAATTGTTTTGTCTGGGTTCCAATTTTGGGAAACATTTTGAGAAGATTCCAAGATCTTCAGGTTTGTGCCTATGCTTGAACATTATACATCTGACTTTCTAATAGCATGGATTCGAATTGCTTTGGTCCACTGATTGGCAGATTATTTTTTTGTGTATGGATATTTGTAATTTTTTTTAATCCAGAGGATCCCTGCAGCATAAAATTCTTTAAAATGAACAAAATCCATACATATATGTAGATTGTATATATTTGCTAAGTTAACATTTATCAGTGCTTAAGCATGCAGACTAAACATGGTGCCATTCACAATGGAGGTAAATGTGAAGATGCCGTCTGGCCACATAACATTAGCTGTGGTCCATACTGTACTACTGTAAATCAGTATCCACCTTCTTTTGGTGTTGTGGAAAGTCTGAGGTTACTTACAAACTTTCTGTTGCAAAGAGTTGACACCTATAACTTTAGACTTTGGATTTATCATATATAAAGATTGAGTTGGCTATTAATTTTCATATATTTACTTAAGGGACTGTTGTGTGACTTTTCTTGGGGACACGAACAAATGTATGTTTACTGCAGATAGGGAGGACATCTAAAAACTTAAGGAGATTGAATCCAAGTATAGCTTAGAAAACCTATGAGAATATTTGGGGTTGTAGGATCATGCATGACTCAAAAGCAACTAGGTCACTGAAAAGTCCACTCAAGAATTCTTGGAACTCCCTGCTCGTCTTGAATCAAGATTTGCTTATGGGAAAACTTTTGAGTAAACAAAGCTTCCATTTTTATTTTTCCTTTTGCCCATTGTGTTCCATTTTATTTCAACTTAGAGAATAGTAATTATTTAATTATATGTGTATGAGTGCTTTGCTTGCATGCATGTGTGTGCTTGGTGCCCATGTAAGCCAGAAGAGGGAACTGAATCTCTGAGAATTGGAGTTACATACTGTTGTAAGCTGATGTGGGTTGTGGGAATCTGTATCCTCGGGAAGAGCAAGTTCTCTTAACTGCTGAACCATTGCCCCAGAAAATAAAATGGGTATTTCATTACCTGAGGAATAGAAGATATTATAAAGTGTTAGTGCAGTGACGAACAGTCTCATTGAGAGTAGGCTCATTATTGCATATTAAATTTTAGTTTGATAATAGGTAGATTAACTGTTTTGGGGTGTATCCTCATGACTGTATTTTAATCAGTAATGAATAATTTCATATTAGTTTTGATGATGTAATAATTAGAGTTTTGCTTATTTCTAAATTCCACCTGTCTTATGGAGAGGATTACACAAATCAGTTGAAAATTGTCTTAAAATCTCTTGATTCAGGGAGATAAACAATTGTTTAGTCTTAACATTTTTGGTGACTAACCGTTTTTGGAGACTTTAAACTCTGAAGCAGTTTACTTTCTCACTTCTGAGTCAGATGTGGGGGATTGTTTGGTGACTATTTAAAAAATTTGAGGATTATGTGTTCAAACCATTTTCGAAAACTTCAGATCTCCAGGTTGTGTCTTTGTGAGTCTGCACTATAACATGGTGATTTCTTTTGAACAGCTCCAACACCAAGGCAACTTATAGAAGAAGGTTTTTTTTTTGGCTTGCTGCTTCTAGAGTGGTGAGAATCCTTCATGGTAGGGAATCTTGGGCAGCAGGTGACAGTCATGGTGCAGAAGTAGCTAAAATTCATTGCGTATTACTGGGGCAGTTTGTTCAGATGAAGGACTTGGCATTCATTGGATTAATAAAATGTTTTCTTTCTTTGTGAATACAAGTACATCCCTTCTGCTAGCCCGAGTCACCATTGTCAAGAATTACCGACAGTAACATTCCTGTTAGTTATCTTTCCCCTGTAATATCAATGGTAGTTACCTACTTTCATTAAATTGTCATGCTACTGTTCTTCTGGCAACAAAGAGAGCAGAGTATTTGTACTTAGAAATTTGGTTCTTTAGGTGAACTACACCAGATTCTGAAAATAGTCCAAAAAAAGTCACATGCTTACCCAATTTGGGCTATAATTTCAAGTGTGTCAGTAAGATAATCAAATCACCCAAAGAACCCAATTTTCCATGTCAATTAAAGGAAGGGTTTTCCTTTGTCAAGAACTGGTTTGTGGATGTTAATCCATGAGACAAGTTAATTATTCAATCTTTTCTTGTCTATTTTCAATGCATTAAGTGTTATAGTATCTTTGGGATATTATTGTTATTTGTTAAAACAGTTGTTAGAACTCCCACTCCCCAAATATATGTCTTTGTAGGTCCTTAAATTTTTATTAATACATTACCAGGCCAAATTTCACACTGTAGTTTCCAAGCATATACTTAAGTATTTGAAAAACTCATATGTTCTTTTAGATGAATAGTCAGCAGTAGTTATCCCTTTAAAAGAATAATTATTTGAAAAATGCTATTTTATGTAAAATTAACTATTTATTTGTAGCCTATTGATTATCACTATTATTTAAATCAATTTATTGGTTGCTTGTTTGTGCACTTTGTCAGTGATCGGTATAAATATATTTATTGTGAGATTTTTTAATTAATATGAGCTAAATAGGATGTTAGCCTGTTGTGTTTGTGTTTTAATTTAAAATAATACTTCAAAATTAAAAAAAAAAGCAAGAATATTAAAAGTAACAATTCTTGCCTAACCCTTAGCCACATCATCAAATACTTTCTTTTTGGCCCATTTTCTTTATCCTTTCCATTGAATTGTTTGTTCTGTCTGATGCCATTTGAAAATAAAGAACAACACTTCCTAAATACTTTAGTGTGTAGCCACTAAGTACAGGGCTCATATTGTCAACTACATTACGTCCTACAGACTTTAGTATGCAGTTACTAAGCATAGGGTTTATATTGCATAGTGTAGTTATATCAGTTGCACCACTTTGTAAATATTTCAACAGAGTCACTAAGCACATGGGTTCATATTGTCGCAGGACCATTATCTACTTTGGAAAGTTTACCAGTGATACCATACTGCCTAATCCCCAATTCAAATACAGTGGGTGACAATCCTTCCGATGATGTAGTTGATAGGAAATGTTCTATTCTGGGATCCCATCCAATAGTCATGACTAGATGGAATGGATATTTAGCTCTAGTGTTGGTGTAAGTGGAGCCCCCAGCAGAGGATACTCAGTCTTTTTTTCTTTAACCTGGCACTTTCTGAGTGTACCTTGCAGTCAGTTCTTTTATAAAATTGCTTTTCATTATAGGTTTATCTAATATTCTTATTAATTTGACTTGGGCACTATGCCTATTTTCCTTTGAAGTTCATTTATAGGGAGATGTTTAAATACTATGTGATATGTGAATATCCATTTTTTTTTCAAATCATGTACTTACTTGTTTTAATGTTCCCTGAGTGGTTTGTCTTTGTAATGATGTATTAATGGTCATAGGCTAGTAAAGGACTTTCCACAGTAATCATTCTGTTTATCTGTTCACTGATTTCATTACTAGAATAGAGTTGTGTTGTGTGTGTTTTACTCTTATGGTTTTTTAGGGCCTGCTACCCAGCTACCAAATAAATCACACACGGAGATTTATTCTTAGCTATAAACTCGCGGCCTCAGCTTGGCTTGTTTCTTTCCATCTTTCCTTAACTTAAATTATCCTGACTTCTTTTCTCCCCTGGGCTTTTATCTTTCTCTATTTCTGTATACCTTTTTTTAGTTCTTTCTCTGTGTAGCTGTGTGGCTGGCCCCTGATGTCCTCCTCTCCTTGTTTTCTTGCTCCTCTTCCCCCACCCCTAAATTTCTCCTATCTATACTCTCTGCCTGCCAGCCCCACCTACCCTTGCTCCTGCCTTGCTATTGGCCGTTCAGTGCTTTATTAGACCATCAGGTGTTTTAGACAGGCAAAGAATCACAGCTTCACAGAGTTAAATGCAGTGCAAACAAATCTCACACACCTGAAAATAAAATTCCCCAACAGAGTTGTTTTTAAAAACATAGGCAACCTATTGCTATTGGTTTTGGTCCCCCACCCCCACCCCACCCCATGTGTGGGTTTTTTNTTGGTTTTTCGAGACAGGGTTTCTCTGTGGCTTTGGAGCCTGTCCTGGAACTAGCTCTGTAGACCACGCTGGTCTCGAACTCACAGAGATCCGCCTGCCTCTGCCTCCCGAGTGCTGGGATTAAAGGCGTGCGCCACCACCGCCCGGCTCCATGTGTGGTTTTAAAAGCAGGCAAGGAGTACCAGGACACTCAAGAGAAACCTTTGTTTTATTGGGCCTAATATTGTGTCCCTGGAGGTATATATGTCTTCTTTTATATGTAAGGGCCATCTTTCTGGAAAGAATTTTAATAGTTTGTTGCACACAAGGAGATTGAGAGCAGATGGCTTTTCTGAAGATTCCATTCCTCAGGTGATTTCAGCTTGCAATACTATGGCAAGTGCTTCTATCAATTGTATGCCTCAGGTATATGTTTATTTATATAGCTTATGCATTGTAGATTTGTGTATACATATATGCGTACATATGAATTTATTTGTATAAAACTTGTTTTGAAATAGGGTCTCATTGTATAGCCCAGACTACTTTTGAACTCCTGGGATTACAAATGTGTGCTCTCTTATCCCTAAACTGAGTTTATTTATCTTCTGTGAAGTATCTTCTAATGTTTGGCTTATTTAAAAAATATTTTGCTATTAAGTTGCACAAATTTTTTTGTATAAGCTACTTATTTACATATATTTATTATGGAATATTTCCCCCCGCCCACCACCAGGAAACTTAGTGAAGTTAAAAAAAAGTCAGTTTTAAAAAACCTTCTGGTCCATGAATTGTGATGCAGATCTTCACTTATCTCTGTAGTTTTTTTTTAAAGAGTTCTTATATGTTTCATTGCTCATAATAGTAATTTCAATTAAAAAAATTTTTTTGACACAAATGCTTATTCTTACTAGGCTGTCTTCGAAGTCACTATGTAGCCAAGGATGACCTTGAACTTCTGATCATTTTGCCTGTGTCTCAAGTCCTGGACTACGGGCAAAGGCTACCGCCCTCAGTTTATGTACTGTTGTGGATCTAACCCAGGTCTCTATGCATGTTAGGCAAGCATTCCCACTGAACTACTTTTTTTTTTGCCCTCAATAAGAAATTGACTTATTTTTTAAAAAAATCCAAATGCTGGCCTTGTCCAGAAAATGTTAACAGGTTTCTTTATAGTTGTTACGAAGTTGAACTGTTGAAATGTGTTCACTGGAACATTCTGCTTGCATTGGTGCTTTACATCTGCATTTATATAAAAAATTCACACGCAAATGAAAATGGAAAAACTGCCAATTCCTGATTTCTGTCCCCGATTTTTCCACTCTCAGTCATATACTTAGGAGCCTTTTGACCCCATGGAAAAAACATCTAACATTCAGAAGTGCTGATAACAGGAAGAGGAGGAAAACATTTTTTTGAGAATGAAATGTTTCCCCTCATAGTGGACTCTTAAGCACGTTCTCCGCGTATGCGCCGTGCTAGCTGGATATCCTTTGGCGTAATTGTTACACATTTGGCATGGGTAGCACACAGGTTGGTATTTTCAAAAAGGCCAACCAGATAGGCCTCACTTGCCTCCTGCAAAGCACCAATAGCTGCGCTCAGGAAGTGCAGATCTGTTTTGAAGTCCTGAGCAATTTGTTGCACCAGACCCTGGAAGGGGAGTTTACAAATGAGAATTTCAGTGGAATACTGATAGTGTCTGATTTCCTGGAGTGCCACAGTAGTAGGCCTTATAACGATGAGGTTTCTTCACCCCTCCAGTAGAGGGCGCACTATTGGGAGCCGCTTTTGTAGCCAGTTGTTTCCTGGGTGCTTTACCACTGGTGGATTTACGGGCAGTCAGCTTTGTATGAGCCACGGTATGAGCACCTCCTGACTTAACCCCCTTCTCCTTTGGCTGGAGCTCGACAAGCGAGAGGCGCTGCTGATGTTAGAGAGCGGCCCAGTGACGGCTGCGAACACAATTCAATTGAAATATTTCTGTAGCTTGTTGATAGAATTTGAAAATTTTTATTTTCCAATTATTTCCTCCTAGAATATTTTAAATAGCTTAATTTTAAAGGTTCATTTGTATTGTTTTTAATTATGTATATGTATGTGCACGTGAGTACATGTGCCCACAGATGTTAGAGGCATCAATTTATCCTAGAACTGGTTGTGAGCTGTTCAGGGTGGTTCTTAGAATCGAACTTGGGTCCCTTGCAAGAGAAGTATGCACTTAACTGCTGCGCCATTTCTCTAGCTCTAAACAACTGATTTTTATATATAGATGCTAATTCTAATAGTTAAGCTCAGTTATTAGTTCTGAATTGATTTAGTACTGTAGTAGAAGGGCTGGTCTTTAGTTCCTGGCTGCCCAGACTCAAATTAACCACACAGGAACTGTTTTAATTAAATCACTGCTTGGCCTTTTAGCTCTAGCTTCTTATTGGCTAGCTCTTATATCTTGAATTAACCCATTTCCATTATTTTATATTTTACCATGAGGGTTGTGATCTACCAGCAAGGTTCTGGTTGGCAGCTCGAGTCTTTCCCCTCTGGTGGTTATACAGCATCTCTCTGACTCCGCCTTCTTTTCCCAGCATTCAGTTTAGTTTTCTCCGCCTACCTCCATTCCATCCTGTGCCTGCCCAAAACAGCATCTTCATTAACCAATGGTATTCACAGCATACAGAGGGGAATCCCACATTATAGTACAGTTGATTTTGCCGGTTTTCTGCTTGTTACTTCTATTTACAGAGATGTTCTTACGTATATAAAGTTAATATATAAACACTTTTTGATGATAAAACATAAAGAAATTTCTTTTGAAGCAGTCTTTGATAGAGAATTTTGCGAGTTAATAAGGATGAATGTGGACTTGCCCATTAATGAAATAGATCTGTTTGTTAATGTTTACATAAGACATTAAGTCTTGGCTAACTATTTGATGCTGTAGGATGTAGAGCATCTTCAGCATTTCCAGTGATGATTGATGTTCTGCTTTTGAATGGGAATGAAGTGTCTGAAGATGGAGGAGGAGTGTTAGAGGAGTCTAGTTCTGGCCAAGTTTAAATACAGCACTAAGTATTTTGTGAACTGAGAGTATCGTACAAAGGTTTTTAAAAGCAGGGCTGGAATTGATTAGATGTTTAATTGGAGAACTAACCGATAATCACTGAGAGTGAAGGGGTACAGGATTTGAGCATACCTCTACTTGACTTCCCAATGTGCATTTTTATTCATGCTGCCTTCGTTAGTAGTAAGGAAATATGTTTCTGCCCATAAATTTATGCCATAGGTTCTCAGAAAGTATTGGTAATTCATATGAGGACATTTGTATTATGAGTTGTAAGCATATGTATCTACTACATTATAGAAAATTTAAACTGCACAATAATTCAAAATGAAGTGAACTCCTACACTTATTTGAATATTTTCTTTTTCAAGACAGGGTTTCTCTGTAGCTTTGGAGCTTGTCCTGGAACTAGCTCTTGTAGACCAGCCTGGCCTCTAACTCACAGAGATCCACTTGCCTCTGCCTTCTGAGTGCTGTAATTAAAGGCATATGCCACCACTACCCAGCTTATAAATGTATTTTAATTACAGCTAGAGTATGTTTCTTAGAAAACTTGGAGAGTAGAACAATAGAATGACATTATGTGTGCCTTTGAGATTCTGTTGTGTAGGCCTATATTCAGTAACAACATGTTGAAAACATTTGGAATGCTCTTTGTTTCTATGAAATATTTTTCACAGTGCTAACAGGTGTCCATCATAAACTTCATCTTTAGAAAATGTTTACTGAATGACCTAACCAATAAAAACTCCACAACTATAGTGGATGAAAACTTTTTATGTATTGGTACCAACTGTCAAACATCTATATGTTTATAGTTAGTGTTATCTCAGTTGGTATCAATCTTTCTTCCTTTTTTTTTTTTTAACAGGTTGCTTCTATAACTGGATCACGTGTTTGCTACATAAAGCACAATGTCTCGATCCCGGCAGCCTCCGCTTGTGACAGGCATCTCTCCAAATGAAGGAATACCTTGGACCAAGGTCACAATTCGAGGGGAGAACCTGGGTACTGGTCCCACTGACCTTATAGGTAAGGGCATCGCCTCCAATGTATTATGACAAGCTGGGTTTTGTTTTGAATTGTTAAGGTAGGCTACATAGTTTTCAAGTAGTGATCTCTAAAATGTCCTGAATAAAAATGATTTTTTTTTGTGGAAGTCATTATCTATCCAACAATCTCTATGCTGTCTTTCTCCAAGTCCTTTGGAAAATTCGTCATGGTTGAGATTTGTTCTCACTCCTTCAACTTGATGTGCCCTGCTTATTTTGCTAATGATGAAAGCTAAATGCTGGTTTTAAAAATAGAAATGATTGTTGAATAGTTGGGCTAGAGGGCAAATTTAAAATATAATTTTATAATCAATTATATGAACTACAAAATAGGGTGTAGAGGTGCATTCCCAGTACATGCTGTTGGAGACTGCCCTAATCTTTCACATGAGTTTGTTCTAGTTTTGGCATTCTTTCGATTGAGTTCGTTACTGCCAGAGACCCAGTTAGTCTGAGCTGAAACCGCCTTTCTGTGCTGGCTGCTGGTGACTAGATTTTGACTATTCAGGAAATGTTTTCTTTATAGAGGAAGCAAATTGAAGTATAGCATTATAGTTTATAATTGAGGTTTGTGCTTCCCAGATAATCATCTTTGCTCATGTAATTTAACTGTATTATGTACAATTTCCCCTTTTTGATAATTTTTGGTGGTTAGGAAACATCTCTTAAATTTATTTTTACAAAGATAAGTGAGTGAAGAGGATGGCCCTCATCTTTGCCCCTTCCTACCAATTACTGGAATTGTAGGCAGGCACAACCATGCTTGATATATGCTGTGCTGGGGATCAGACCCAGGACTTTGCATGTGCTAGACAAGCCTTCTACCGTAGGAGCCACATTCCAACCCAGAGATTGTCATATCTAATTCAATGTCTTGGCTTTTGACATAGTTCAGTCCAGTTGTTTCTTTATCCATATTGGGGGGAAAACCCTTGGAATGCGTGAAAACATACCATATAGATGAAATTTATTTCTAAGCTTGTAACCTCTAGTGTCAAAATGTAAGAGTCAGCAGTCTCTGTACATTTTAATCTTGCTTTAGCTTTAGATGATGCTATTTTTATTTGACCAAGTGAATATTACTTTCATAACCTTGCTAGTTTACCTTTCAACCTGTCTTATCTGTTGCCAGTAAACCATTTTTAAAAAATGCTCAACTTGATAAATAATTTCTGTGTTTTTAACTGAGATGACACCTGTGTTGTCAAGTTACATTTTAAAACCTGAGGCTAAACCAGGAAGGACAGTGTGCTCCTTTGACAAGCCCAGCACATGGAGTCAGAGGAAGCAGATAGATCTCTGTGAGGTTGAGCTCAGCCTGGTCAGTATGGAGTTCCAGGCCAGTCAGCACAACACAGTGGGACCCTGTCTCAACAAACAGTGTCAACACAAAAATTCCAGTGCCTCCCAAACAATAATGATGCTATTATATTTCGTGAGGTAGATTTATTAGAAAATTGTAAGTAAGCAAAAAGGGGGGACTTAAGCAATTAAAAAAAGGTCATGTGATCTTATTTTCATTTTGTGATATTCAAAATAATTGCTGTACTCTATATCTAAATTATATGCCGATTATTAATCTTTTGGAGGAAAATGCAGATCAGATACTTAACTTAGAGGAACCTTGGAAACAGATATGAGCAGATGCATATTTGTATATTTTTGCTCTTGATTAAGGTATTGTGTTTGTACAGTTCATTTAAAAATGTAATATATAATGAAGAAATATGTTAATAATCATCTATAACAGTCAAGCTTGTAGTCATGTTAGTTAGATTTTCTAGATGTATAGAGATATATTTCAGTTAGATAGGTATTCTTCAAATCTTTCAGAGACCTTCACAATAAGGCATTTAAAATGTTTTAAGAACTTAGGACTTTTCATCACAATTAGACATATTATTCTTAAAAATGATTCTCGTGGTGGGTTGGCGGGGCCCGCCTTCTGCCATGAGAAAGCGGCTACAGGAGGGCACGCTTCCTTGGCCCACGGTGGCGGCAGGTAACAGACACGTAAACACAGGAAATAGCCATAAGTATTTATTAAGGAAGAGGGAGAAAGAAAGACAGAGAAAAGAGATAAAAGGAGAGAGACAGCGAAAACGCGTGCACACGCCAAGGAAGCAGAAAGAGAGAGGGGGGTCTCAAGATGGCGATGGGCGGGTCAGAGGTTATGGGAGTGGGCGTGGCTAGGGCAGGGACCAAAAGAATAACAAGACATATCTGCTCCTGGTAGCACCAATCTATTTCAAGTATTTGATGGGCATCAAAGAGGCTCCTTATGGAGTTTGTTAGCCATGTGGGCAAGAAACTGCTCTTGCCTGGGCTGCTTGATGCAATGCTTTATGAACTGGACAAGCAGGACCTACAGAGAAATGACTGCTGAACTTGCCTAAAGGTGAGATGATCTTTTGAGGTTCCTGCTTCATGAAAGAGTCTGCTAGACATTCTGCAAGATACAGAAGAAAGTGACTGACACGCTGCCAATATAGGCAGAACTGTCTTTGAAATTTCCTGCTACATGGAAAAGTCTGGTGGATACTTTGGGCCTGTTGGCTGAAGATTGGATGCCCCAATGATACAGAAGAACTTTGGGTGACTGTCTAGGCAGTGAGATGTCTCTGTCAATTCTAGAGTTTTAGAAGTTGCTTACAGTGTACTTCCTGTTTACTTAGGTAATATTATATCCTTCTGGAATCTTTGATGGAGTTGAAGAATCGATATAGTTTTCCTTAGTCATGATAAAAGATAAAATAGATATAAATATTGTAACTATAATTCTTGCTTGATAACTGTTTTGTTATATGTAATTTTACTATGTTAAAGTTAAAACCTTTTTATTTACACACAAAAGAGGAGGTGAGGCAGGATTCCCTTCTGTATGCTGTGAATACCATTGGTTAATAAAGAAACTGTCTTAGGCCTGTGATAGGGTAGAGTAGAGCTAGGCAGGGAAAACTAAACTGAATGCTGGGAGAAGGAAGGCAGAGTCAAAGAGAAGCCATTAACCCCAGTGGAGACAGAAGCCAGAACTTTACCTGGTAAACCACAGCCTTGTGGCGATACACAGATTAATAGAAATGGGTTAAATTAATATGCAAGTGCTAGCCAATAAGAATCTAGAGCTAATGGGCCAAGCAGTGATTTAATTAATATAGTTTCTGTGTGGTTATTTCAGGAGTCTGGGCAGCCAGGAAACAAGCAGTCTCTCATACAGCACATAGCCTTGTTCTTGACTAGTTGATGCCTTCCTGGATATCATTCATATTTACTCATATGAGGTGCATCTGAAATATTATCTTATGAATGTGCTTTACCATACAGTGTTTTTACACTATACTCTGGCATTTAGAGTTGAGTCATTCTCTCTCAGACAACCTGGCTGGGTATTGCTTTCAGTCATGTCAGGGCTTGGCGATGGGCCTGAGCTGGGGGTGCTGGTTTATTAGGAAGCTGAATGGTGGAAGGCTAGCATAGTGATGTTTTGTTAGGAAACTACTAAAGCAGATAAACTACCACCGAGAAGTTGCTGAGGCGATGTAAGAGCTGAGAGTCATCCGATAGTGGCCTAGAGTGCGTCTGACTCACTGTGCTCTAGCCTTTGCTTGAAGTAATTCAGTACCCAGTTCAGTGCATTCAGTAAGACTGAGTGTAACAGAGACTGGAAACAGCACACTCAGATTCTTTTTAGAAGATGGGTAAGTTTAGAATTTTTTAGGAAATGATCCCCAAGTGTTTTGTGTGTTTTATCCCTTGTGTCAATAACTTAAACTTCTTATGGTAGCAGTGCTTTCTGGAAACAATTGGGAGTCTTATAGTCTAAGTAATCTGTGTGCCTGGGCTTAGCTGTAGCCCATAATTGTTCTAATTCTGCTGAGAGTGGAAAAAGCTTAATACAGTCCGAAAGCAGTCTTAGGTGTCAGAGAGAAGACCAGGGAGATGGAGTGGGGCGGTGGTGACTCAGCAGGCTCCGTGTCTGCCAGGCACTGTCTTTGACATCTGTTGGAATAGGAAATGTGGTTGATTTGTTTGTTTGGTTTTAATTTGTTATATACCTGCTTTTACTTCCAGGCTTGACAATTTGTGGCCATAATTGCCTCCTCACGGCAGAATGGATGTCTGCAAGTAAAATCGTGTGTCGCGTGGGCCAAGCCAAAAATGACAAAGGAGACATTATTGTCACAACTAAGTCAGGGGGCAAAGGAACCTCAACAGTATCTTTTAAACTACTGAAACCTGAAAAAATAGGTAAGACTAGTAGTGACTTTATTTTAACGAGAACATATTGGCCTTCAGAGGCTAACACTGGTGGATGTTGTCAAACCCACTTAATTCTCATTCTCGTTGCAAGTAGTGTGTTCATTTTGATGACACCAGGATGCGTCTCTTAGTTTGCATTACCCCTTTTGTTCATGACTGTTTTTTCTGCCATGGTAGAGCCTCGCGGGCTGGCTCTGAACTCACTGTGCAGCATTCTTTTGAAAGGCAGTTTGCTAAGTGACTGTCAGTGTAAAGATGACAGTTGGAAGATGAGTCTTACAACTGATAAGCTCTGTCTCCGTGGCAGTTTGGGATTCTAGTTCTGGCTCCTGGATCTTGAACATATGACACTGACATTGCTTTAACACTGGTACACCATTAAGATTCACAGTGGAGGAGCTTCTAGGTTGACCAAATCTGTTGTGGTTTTATCTAAATGATCCACCCCCTTTTAATTTTTGTATCCTTCCGGGGCGAGATGAAATGTAGCCTTCTAGCTTCCCATGCTCTTCTTTGTCCTCCGTCCTCCGGAGTTATACTTCCTCTTTTCGTGTGTATTTACCTCCTGCTACCTTGCAGTGCTTAAGATTTGGGTCTGAGGAACCAGACTCTTCAAATTCCGAACCTAGGCTCTTACCACCAATAGCTATGTAGCCACAATACCTGTTTTCTGGTAATAAAAGCAGAGTGGTGACATCTACCTCATAGGAAGTTAGATAAGTTAGAACATAAATGTAAAGTGTCTAGCACCTTTAAAGAACAAATTAGTAATTTTAAAATTATTCCCTGGGATACTTTATTTCTCATTGTGATCCTGTAAGATCCTGCATAAATATACAAATATAAGATTTTTGTGTAATATAAGAATGGCAGTTCTAATTTATTTCAGACAGTGCTCTCACTATAGAGAAAACTAAGTTTTTTTAAATCTATCTCACCTCATAAAGCTTTCCTACAGTGCTGTCCTCCACAAATCCTTATTACAATTTTGAAGTAAAAACGTATAGAGGAAAACTAAAATTGTAATTAGTATATGATATATACATGTATATGTAGAAATATAACCCCATTTATATATATTTATATATTTTCACATCTTCAGATAGTGAAATCTGAAATCAAAGCATGAGCCTGTTTTACAGCTTTCTGGAGGAAGTGTAAACATACTGATGATATTCATATTTTATAATACTTGGTTCTATAGCACATGAAGAGAATTTAGGTGAAAGTGTAGTTTTATTCTGAATGCCCAGCCCAGGGTAGAATGGCTCACAGAAGATGCAGTGCAGAGTTAACGACATAGCCCTGGAGTTTTGGACTTCTGCACAAGCTTGTGTGGAGCCCTTATTAATGTCTGCTATGGCTGCCCAAGTAGTCTGTTTGCTGAGTCCTGTTGTTGCCCGGTGTTCAGACAACCTTCCTCTGGGAAGCCTCAGCTCTGCCACTCCCAGTGCAGCCAGCAGGGCACACTTGCTCCAAGCTGCTTGGTTCTTCAGTCCTGCTCTGTTGCAGCCCAGAGTCCCTGGAGTGGTAATGGGCATGTGCTGTCAGAGTTTGGTCCATGAAGGAGAATGCTGTCTGTAGAGTTTGTGTTTTGTTTTTAGGTGTCTACCCAGTCAGTTTTCCCTGAATAACCTTGCCATTTCCATTATGGAAGCCATGCACTCTTTAACCAGTTTAATGGTTAGATATTTTGGTTGGATTTACCAAATCAGCCTGTGCTAGGGAAAAACTCTCTCTCTCTCTCTCTCTCTCTCTCTCTCTCTCTCTCTCTCTCTCTCTCTCTCTTTCTCTCTCTCTCTCTCTCTCTTTCATTCTTAGTATTGTTATAAGACATTTTCAGCATTCTGAATAATGAACAGTATGAGAAATAATGACTGTTCTATCTTGGCATAATTATTCCTGAAAACATGTCAGTGCTTAGAGAAAGAAAAGGCATTTCTTGAGAGTTTTCAAAAGCAAAAATACAAGTCATACATCTATGACAGCTTCTCTGCAGTTACGTTCAAGGAGCTCTCTGTGGCACTGATGCTTAGCTTTAATGTTTAGTGCCTTGAGATTTCTTAGCCAAAAGCTGGCATAGTTCAGAGTATTTTCTTGAATAAAAAGTTATTATAAGTCATATCATTGTATCTTATATTTAACTTTCCAAATATTAATATTAACTTAATCAATACTTAACAGTCTATAAATAATTTTATATGTTATTTGGAAAACATCCTGTTTTTTCAGAATGCTTTGTGAGTTACTTAAAATCAGCTCCATTGAACAATGTATAGTGACTCTGTAAACCCAGAGGTGGTGCTTGGCTGTTCTCTAGAATCTCAGTAGTTTTTATAAAGTCACCAGGCATGAGAAGATTTGAGCTGTAGTGCCCAAACCTCTTAAAAAACAAAGGTGAGATACATGGTGCCTGGAGAATTTGTTTCTTATTGAATGTATACCTCTCATCTTTACAGGCATCTTAGATCAGTCTGCAGTGTGGGTGGATGAAATGAATTATTATGATATGCGGACTGACAGAAATAAGGGGATTCCTCCTTTGTCACTCCGTCCTGCAAATCCACTTGGCATTGAAATTGAAAAGTGAGTACCGTCTGGCTCTTTAATTTCCGACTTCTAAGAGTTTTATGTTCTTTCAGTGGAGGGAGTCACCTTCAGGGATGTCCTGGAGAGCACAGGTGAAGGCAACTCAGCCAAATGGATTATTTACTATTATTATTTATTTTGATTATTAATTATTATTTCTGTAATAAAATTTATGAAGTTTGATGAGTTTTGCTTCAGTGTTTTTATTAGATAAATCTTTGACAAAATTATTTTGTTTTGGGGGGAGTTTATATTTTGTGATTATAAAATGTTTAAAAATTTTAATAACAACTAACTTTTAGTTTGGAGTTTTGGTTGTGGAATGTAGGGCCCTTACATGCTAGTCAACTATTCTTCTATGAAGCTTCCCCTTGTTGTAGCACACTCTTAATTAATGATATGAGCATTAGCACATTTTAATATGTTTAGATGATATTTAAATCAATAGCATTATAATCTGTTGATTTTCTTCACTTTCCTAGTAATATTTTAGAATAATTTGGTCCAAAGGGATCTTTTGCTTTTGATAAGTCCTGCCTAAAGTTTTGTTTAACCTAGACTTATTTAACTTTGTTTATCAGAATTCTGCCAGTTGAGTGATACCTTGTTTTATAAGTGAAAGCCTTGTTTATGAAAGCTTTATATATGAAAGCTTTGCTTTCATAATCCCAAGTATGGCCACTGTCTTAGTTGGTGTGTCTGTTGCTGTGAAGAGACGCTATGACCATGGCAGCCCTTATAGTGGAAAACATTTAATTGGAATGGCTTGCTTACAGTTTCAGAGGTTCAATCCATTGTCATCATGGCAGGGAGTATGGCAGCCCAGCACTCGGGAGGTGGAGCTCTGTGAGTTTGAGGACAGCCTGGTCTACAAGAGCTAGTTCCAGGACATTTAGGACTTTTTCACAGAGAAACCCTGTCTTGAAAAACCCAAAGGAAAACAAAACCAAACAAACACCCCTATGACCAAAAGCAACTAGGGGAGGAAAGGTAAACCCTTTCCTTATATTATTTCCTTATTTTATCTTAAAACTCTCAGATCACATTCCATCACTGTGAGAAGTCAGAGCAGGAACTTTGAGGCAGGAACTAACGAAAAGGCCATGGAGGAGTGCTGCTTGCTCCACAGTTTGCTCAGCCTGTTTCTTACAACATCCAGGACCTCCAGCTGTTGTATGACCAAACTTTCCCAGGGAAGTTACAACAGCCATGTCTACTCACCCCAGATAGGAATCCCATGACAGACCAAAGTATGGATATAGCCAAAGTTCAGTTGGTGAACCAATGCATTTTATTCAGGTTATTTACAGGAGCTGAAATGAGTCACAGACAACTGTATTACTAAAGGCCACCCCAGCATGGCTGATAGATAGCTCACAAAGCTGGGAACCTCGAGTATACTGCACAGCCTGTAGCTAAACATTTCTTTACCTTTCTCTTAAGAGGTAGTGTTGTGTGACTTGGAGCCAAACCATCTGGCTTTGCATTAGGCACCCAGGGCTTACTACTGAGGGCTTGAGGTCAGACCATTCCCCGGGCTGTTGTGAGGGCTGTGCATGAGGACAGCCGAGCATTGCAGCCACCGTGGGTTGTGTGCTTGTTGTCACCATGATACTTTGCTTGTCCCTGACTCAGGGCCAACAGTTTTTAAATACTGTAGTTTCCTCCTGTTGCCATGATAAAATACCCTGACTAAAAGCAGCTTAGGGGAGAAAGAGTTTATTTGATTTAAGATTACAGATTACAGTATTATTGTGGGGAAGTCAAGGCAGGAACTGAAGACATCATGAAGGGTTTTTAGTAGGCTCAAGCATGGCAACCATGGCTCTGGCAGATCTTGCCCTCCCCCATTCTTCCTTATTAAACTTTAGCTTACATTCCTAAAGCTAGCCACTAAAGTCCGTTTCCTTATTTAGATATTTTCCTATTCCAAACTCATTCCCGAGACTGGCCACCACGGTCCAGGTTTCAAAGTATTGAAGTGCAGCAATCAAGAGCCCCTTTTGGCTAGCATTTCCAATCAGAACTAATCAACTCATTTTAACATGTTTCCCTTTTTCTCTTTATAAACTGCCATTTGCCTATGAGACATGCCTGCCTCTATTTTATTCAGAGGCAGTCTTTTGTCCCGCCAGGGTCAATATCCCTTATCCCTCTCCCTTGCTCCTTTTCTCCCCTCTCACTTGTCTCCTAGTCCCTGTCTTTGCCACTGTGGGGCAAATAAACTTTGTACTGAGAACTTGGTGTTCATGTGTCCTGTGCCAGTCTGGTCCTTTTACATCACATCTACAGTCACGTGCAAGATAAGAGTGCCCGTTGCTCAGCACTTAGTCCACTCTTAAGCAATCCAGGGCCCAGCTATTGACTTGGCACCACCCACATTCAGAGTGGTTCTTCCCACCTCCATTAACAATCAAGACAACCCCCACAGTCATGTCTGCAGGCTTACCTGCTCTCCGTGATCTCTCTGTTAGGGCCTCTTCCAAGAGGTTGTGGCAGGCTGACATTTAAAACTATCATGAGCAAGTTTATTCAGTAATAATCTGTGTTAAAATTAAAAATAGGTATTATTTATTCAAATAGGTTTTCTCTCCTTCCCTCTACTGCTCCCTCCTTCCCACCTAAGAAAACTACATGGAGTTTACTGACTTCTCTTACTTAAGGATTTGCTGATTCTTTTGCTGGAGGTGAAGCAAAGCATGAGCTCTGTACTGGGGCCATACCCTGGCCCAGGTGGAAAAAGAGTGAGAGAAAGGAGGGGCAGAATGTCACACACTCATGTGGGATTGTTTTCCTAACCCACGTAATAGTTTGTAGTAAAACCCTTTTGTCCCTGTAGAAAGTGATGTTGCATTCGGATTCTAATCCTTACTGCCTTTGGTTTTACTATGTTGTGTATGAATTTCTTAAATCATTTAAAAAATTTAAGCATTAGCCAAGGAACATGGGGACTTTACAGTTATTTGTTAGTAGAAAAGCAGTAACTAACAAGGTCTGAAGACGTATAGATGCATATTATAAAATAACAGCTGTGGTCCTGGTGACTCTCACTAGTAGGAGGTGGCCTTTGGGAGATGAGTCAGTGCCTGGTAACGACCTTGTGAATGTTGGAGGTCACTGTAGCTCATGTAGGTGTCCAGTGGAAGGGTGAGGAGTCCCGTGGTGCTGTGCCTGGTACTTAGACCATGAAAACGCAAGTGAGAATAGCATAATATAGGCTCCTTGTTGCTCTTGCTATGAGTCGGGTTTTAATATATTTTATTGGTGGACCCAGCATGCATGCCGTCATCTTTCAGCCCACAAGTTTTTAACAAGTGGCATTTATTGGTGTCTTTGACTGTTAAAGTCCTTCATGTCCCTAAATTTTTAACTGATGTTTTTGCACACATGGTGCCATGGCACTTATAAAAATGCTACTAATTGCTCCGAAAAGGTAACTTCACTTTGCCTGAGACGAGGCTTTTCTTGTAAAAGGTCTGTATTTCTGATTTATTGTGCTGGTTGTCACAAATATGTATGTTCTTGCCTGGTTTCAGTTATAATGGATACAAACTATTTAAGCTGTAAAAGGAGATAAAAATAGGCTCCTAGTAAGTGAAAGTCTTCACTAGATTCTGTTTCTTTAAAGTCCTGTTTGCCCGAAGAGAATGTTTATCAAGAAAGCCTTGGCAGTGGTGCTTGTGTGAAGTGAAGGCAGAGAAGTAGAGTGTGGCTCCTGTTTTCAATCTCTGCTCATTTTTTGAGTGAACTCTTCCTGGGGGATGATGTCTGGAGCAGTCAGTTGATGCTATTCAGTTGATAGGTATTAGCTGTTTTATCTCTGCATGGCTTTTGGGCAGGGTACATCTGGCTCTGTTCTTATCGGGTCAGATTTTCAACAGAAAGAAGCAGTGACCAGTTTTCCTAGTACATTTAGAAAGTCACCTTTACAAAACCGACAGGGTGACAGCAGCCATTCCTGGGAAGATCATAGAAGTGTCTCGATTTTACCGTTAGAATTCTGTAGAAGTAGATTTGTGGGCTATGGTACAGTGCCTAAGTCCAGAAACTATACCAGATTTTAAAATAAAACTTTTCCTATAATATTTTAATGTAACATTGTAAATTATGTTGTTGAAATTTAAAGCCGAGAGAAATGAGTGTAGCCCATGCCATCAAAGAACAGCGCCAGTCCATTAACTGTCCGCAGCCGTCCTGCCCTCCATGACCGCATCAAGGAAAGCACAGCATGTTTTCTCGTATGTGTTTTATGAACATTCCTCTTATGTATCTGTCTACTCGGTTAGATGCCCGAGGCTGACCCTTTCTAGAGGGATGAAGTCTGAGTTTACACTGCCATCTAACGGAAACAGTTTTAGGGGCAGCAAGAGTGGTTAGTAACTGAACTGCTTTGATTCCTTCTAAAAACAGTTTTCCTGGTGCCTGGCAGTCTCTCCCTCCCAGCCGGTGGGGAGACTACACTGGGAGTCTGCATACTCACCTTGCTCCCTCTCCCAGGCTCTCTGAGCTGTCCCTTAACTTGGAAGGCTGACCTCCTGCGTCCTGTTACTCTGTGGGCTGTGACTGTGTGCCTCATGGGCTAGCCTAACACAGTGCTCCTTCCTTCTTTTTGCTGGGAGGAATAGATCTGTAGCAGTGCTTTTATTTCAGATCTAAGACTGGTTCCAGGCAAAACCATGACTAATGACTTGTACCCTCTGAAAGTATGCTTATTCGTTTGTAAAAATGAGAATATTTAATTTACTTGCTACATTTAGAGTAAAACACAGTGGTACTTAAGAAAATAATCTGTAAAATATAAAAACTAGAAGAGAATTTAACAGCTAATAGCATTTTTGAGCAGCTTTTCGTAATTGCCATCGACTTTAATTCTCAAACTGTTGCCAAGAATGAGCCGCTGTGATCCTCAGGAGTACATGGAATCTGGAGAGCTTAGCTGCTTTCCCAGGCCTACACACTGAGGGATCTGGGGGCCTGTGCTCTTATGGGTACCTGATAGGGACCCCTGTGAGTCAGCTGCACTTTGTAGCCCCTGCTTCTGTTTCATTTTCCAGATATACGTGTAAAAGATTAGTATATTATTTGCAAGGCTGTATTAGTAAATCAAGATGCCTTCAGCTCTATGTAACAAAAATGTCAATTCATTTGTTTTAAACGAAAAGGACATTTCTCTCTCTTCTACAAAATTCAGAGGTGACACTCTTAGTCATGTCAGCGAGGTTTGCAGAACTCAGTTCGCTCTTCTGATGAACCGGTTTCCTTCATAATTATAAAATACTTTCCACAATTCTTGGTTTTGAAACTTGGCATAATGATGCTCAAGGACAGAAGAATGGCTGTTTCTTCTAGGTTCTCTTTAAAATTGAGACTGTTTCTGAAAAGACTCCCATCAGTCTTTCTCAGACATCTCTGATCTGAGTGGGGCCACTGAATAAAGGGTAAGAGGACAGCGACGTGTGCTTGGCTTGCAGCAGTCACTGTCCCCAGCGCAGATAGTGCTGTGTGGAGTGTGTTCTAGGAGGGCCAACCCAGCAGACACGAATGTAGGGAACAAGTGAATGAATCTAAAGGCCATGGATGCAGGCCCCCGAAAGCATATGAAAATGTACACATGGCTTAAATAGGGTTCAGTACCCAGTGAACAGAGTACAAGCCTCCTATGGCAGCACTGTTGAGGGCTTGAGAAGTCCCAGCTTCCCTCTTTCCATCTTGCCTTAGTCCTGTACCTGGGTTTTTAGGGCAGAAATATCAGGTCATGTACCTAGTGGTAGCCTTGGCTATCTACCCCAGTAGCTGACCCTTTGAAGATACTAGCATCAGAAGCCCCCAGAACGGCACAGGACTGTTGTAAAGAAAATGGAGTGCCGCTCTCTTAGAAAAGCCCACATTGTGCTCTTGTCAGATGCCTTCCGCTCTTCTTGGTCCCCTTTCCTCTGTCAACCATGTGTCATTCTGTGTTGAATTAACTCAGCTCTGCTTCACAGTGGCTCATCCTGAGATTTTCTGTGTTGAAGGCAGGGTCCAGTTTTACCTGAGTTAAGGTCTTGAAAAGTTTAAGGAAAGTTCTCAGGCTGCTGGAGGTAGCTGTGTCTCAGTTCTGGTTGCCTCTGACATGACCGCATTAGGAAGTACGGATAAAGGAGTCCATTGATCTCAAATCCATTTTCAGGTTACTGAAAGGCATGAGCTTTAGGTTTCAAAAGAAGCATGGTTAGCCCTGGCCAAGTGTGCTCTGAAAGGTTATTGTCTCTTTAGATTCTGTTTAGATTCTGCAAGGTTGTTGGACAAAGTTCTTGTCCTGTGAGTAGTTCAGTCTGCTTCCTAGAAGGTGACTACTTTTGCTCCAGGATGAGATTTAGGGTAAGGATGCCTCTGTTCTCAGTTACCCTGTGGGCCCAAACCAGTTTGTTTTTCTCTTTTTCTCTCTTTCCCTTCCTCCCCTCCCTCCTTCCTTCTTTCCTTTCTTCCTTTTTTTTTTTTTTTTTTGGATTTTTTGAGGTGTGTGTTTCCCTGTATGTCCTAAAACTTGCTCTGTAGACCAGGCTCAGAGATCCACCTGCCTCTGCCTTCCGATTGCTGGGTTTAAAGGCGTGAGCCACAACATCTGGCCTGCAAAACCAGTTTCTAAGAGCCCATTATAGCCTACAGTGTGATACAGTAACTAACAGAGGAAAGAGAGTCTGTCACCATCTACCCACCCTGTCACAGTCAGACTATCAACTATTGATCGTGCTTGGGAGAAGGAAGAAAAAGTATTACCTCAGTGTGAAGATGACACATTGGTCATGGTGAGGCTATTTGTGTGTGTGTGTGTGTGTGTGTGTGTGTGTGAGCTGTGTATGTTAATACATAGATATTAAGACTCCAGACATAAATCTAGAAATACTGGAACTGTCCGTGTTTTCTTTTAGCATAGGGGTATTTCTCATTGAATAAAATGCAAATGTCTATAAAACAATTTTCTGTTTTTACCTTATAATTTGGCACGAACAGTCTATCAGGGCTGGGGAAGCGTTTTCAGAAAAGGGTTCTGCAAGAAGAAAAAGTACACATAAACATGAATGTACCAGAGAATATAATCTGCCTGAAGCTCTGAAGCTTCTAATGTGAGAACTGGTGTTGCAGAAATGAGTCTTAAGACATAAGCAGGTTTAGTACAGGGAAACCCTTAAATGTGCAGCTGAGAATTTGAACTTCGTCCTGCAAACAGGGAGGTGGGTCAGCAGCAAAGCTTGAAAGTTGCTTGGCTAGGGACAGGGTCTGGCTAGGGTAGATACAGTGTGAACTTTTCCTGGAGAATAGCAAACTTCTGTTCACCTCAGACAGGACAAGGACAGGCTAGTGTTCACCCCAGAACAGTGACAGGTTAAAGAAATGATTCCACTTGCACTGGTTAATTTTAAATGTCAGCTTGCCACAACAAAGTTTACATGATAGGAAACCAGCCACAATATAGAAATAATATTCCATACTGTGTTCAAATATGTTCTTGATAGCTTATTGTATATAATATATAGTCATGCATGTATTTTAATTTATTGTGTATTATTTTGTGATGTTAGTATCAGTTGTAATGGATTTTAACTTTTTCTCTCTAGAAGTAAACTTCCTCAGAAGGACTTAGAAGCGTTGTTTCATGGCATGAGTGCTGATTTTACGAGCGAGAATTTTTCAGCTGCGTGGTATCTTATAGAGAATCACTCCACCACCAGGTTAGTGGACTTCAGACCCTGACCTCTGAGGGCTTCAGACAGTGGGCCCGTGTGCAGTAACCCTGACTTAAGTCTGGCCTTGCAGATGGTGACACCTGTAGGTTTGTGAGTTCTCTGACTTTGGTGAGTCCCTAACAGTCTCAGTGTATCTGTCTCCTTGTTTGTAGAGTGTTAGAAGACTTTTCTTTCTCACCCCACCATTATTTGTGCAGCTCTGGAACATGTGTAGTATTGGTAGGTGACCTAAACAGATTCTTGTGACTGTCATGTGCTTCCTTACCAATCACACACACTGGTTAAGTTCTGTGTGAAATGTAGAACACAGAGCAAGCTTATTATTATGTGAAGATAAGGACAGGGTTGGCTCTCCGAGTTCTTTTGTTCCTTTAGCATTTTACTTCACTATAAAGAGCACACTTGTAACTTTTTGCCAGATTGATTTAAAACACCAGTGTTAATGAAACCATTTAGATAAAAGAGTTGCTTGTTACTTAAGATTTATATTCTTTGTAAAACAGTTAAAGTGAATGTTAATATAATTTTATTCGCTTAAAGAGGTGAAACCCATTATTAGAAAATATGAGGAAAAGTTGGTTATTTAATGCATAAATGAATTTGGTTTGGTAATATTTTAAAGTTAGCTTGAATTTTCCACTATGGACATGCTTTTCCTGTCGTAACTCAGAACTGGTGTGTTTGGTGTGTGGGTTACTATGGTACTTAAAACAATATCGAGATTTTATTCACAAATTTTGTCATCTCAAATGGAAATAAAATTTTTAAAATACAGAGTCCCATCTTTTCTTCCTCTCAGCTTTTGATAGAAGTAAAATGATATGGTCTTACTTACTGCTTTTTTACAAATTTTAAACGAGTCTACACAGTAGTGGCTTTCATCATGCCTCTTCACACGTGTATCACATGTGCTTTGTCTCTTGTTTGAACTGGGAGTCACCCCCAGGCTCTGTGTAATTTTGTCATTAAGGACAGAGGACTGTGTATTGCGGGTGAGATGATCCTTGTGCTCAGTGTCCCAGGAGACTTGCATGAGTGAGTGGAAGACTCCGCCTTCAGACAACTGCCCCTTTGAACTACCTGGGACAGCTGGGTCTCCTGTCAGTAAAAGATACTCAGAACTTCTATCTCCAAGTCATGAATATTGTATATCTACATTTGTACTTACTTCTTAGGGACCTGGCATACTTGGAATTATCATCTGATGCTGTAAGACTAGTTTTATATCTGTTGGGCATCACAGTAAATAAAATGTTTAAATCTAGATAAGAACTTGAAATATTTTTGTTTTTCCATGCCTATTAATGTATGTGCCGCACAGAAACTTTAGCATTCCTGTTGCTTTACACTTAATGGATTATCTTGTCAGGAGTCTCAGGCAGTTGATTTCTTTTAATTCATTTCAGTTTTGAACAGCTCAAGATGGCAGTCACCAACCTCAAAAGGCAGGCCAATAAGAAGAGCGAGGGGAGTCTAGCCTATGTGAAGGGCGGCCTCAGTACCTTCTTTGAAGCTCAGGATGCTCTCTCAGGTAAGGAAACCCTGAGAACCATCTGCCGGGGCTTCCACTGTGGAAACCCGACACTGTGCTCCCTCGTGTTTATGGGGTGTGACATTCGGTCTGTATTTATAAAAGTAGAGGTTTAAAACATTCCATAAATATTTGTTGCAGACTGGGCTGAAATCTCTTTGAAGGCCTGGTACTGTAAATATTTGTCTCAAAGGCTCTGTTGACCCATCTTACATGTGAAACAGGAGACCCCCTGTTCTGCTGCATGATGCTCAGTCTTTGGGGCTGATAAGAAATTGAATCCCAGTGGGCAAAGTTCTAGAATTCTTAAAATCCTTTTACAGACATCACATCTTACTCATGTGCCTAATTCTGAAAATGTTCTCCATTCTGTGTTTCATTTGGGAAGGACTGATGATGATGTGGCGCTATTTTTAGCCATTACCCCAGAGGCCCCCAGCATACACAGTCAACTACCTACTCTCTGACATCATCATTACAAGAACGGAAAATTATGTTATCAGAGCTTTAGATTTCACAATGGAAGACACTGAGTAGGTTTCTAAAATCTGCTTTTAGTTCATTTGTTTATAGTGAGAATAATATGTATAGTGAGAAATATATATGTATAAAATTTACCATAATTCCTTTTGGAAATGAAGGTCTTTATAATTAAGTACTTATATTCTATTAATTATGTGTGTGTGTGTGTGTGTGTGTGTGTGTGTGTGTGTGTACCATAGCACTTGTGTGGAGGTCAGAAAACCACTTGTAGAAGTCAGTTCTTATTCCGTCATATTGTGCCTGGGGATGAAACTTGGTTTTGAGGCTTGGTGGTAAGCGTGTTTGCCCACTGAGCTATCTTACCCATCCATTACTAATCCATTTTGCTGTCCAGTACGTCTGTTTTCCTGTAGAGATACAGTTTTGTTCTTAAACTGTGGCTGAATAAAATTCTGTTGTTTGTCTATGTCTATATATCTATCATCTCTCTAATTTATCACATTTTCTTACCCATGCATCTGTTGGTGGACATCTATGCTAATTTGATAATTTGGCTGTTGTGAGTAGCACTGCAGTAAACACGGATTTACAGGTCACCTCTCTGGTATGCTGACTTAGAACCCTTTGGATGTATTCCCAGGAGTGTATATCTGGATCGTATAATAGCTCTATTGAGGGATCTTCATAGTGACTGCACTGGTTTACATTCCCAGCAGTGTATAAGGGTTCTTTCTCCTACCAGACTCTTGCATCCTTGCGAGCACTGTGTGTCTTTCTTAGTGATCACATTCTGATGCCTGAGGTGGAGTCTCAGTGCAGTTTCCCTTTTGACTTTTCTCCTCAGACTCAGGATTCTGATCATTCTCTCACATGTCTGTTGGGCCTTGATACTTCATCTTTTGAGAGGTGCCCTCTCCTTTCCTTTTTGTTTATCAGAGTTACATGGGGTTTAATATTTTGTTTTTTAGTTTTTTATATATTCTAGATATTAATCCTCTGTCAGATGAAGTCAGCACATCCTATAGACTATCTCTTCACTTGGTTATTTTCTTTACTGTACCAAGGATTGTAATTTCATGCAACCCTGTTTGTTAAATCTTCGTTTTATTTTCTGAACAATTTTAGTCATTTTCAGAAAGTTCTTGCCAATCATGTATTTTGAAAGGTTTTTCTCTGTTTTTGAACAGTTTTCACCATTTCAGGGCTTACAGTAAGGTCTTGATTTTTTTTTTTTCATAAGGTGATTTTTTTTTTTTTTTGGTGAATGTGTGTGTTTGTTTAAAAACAGGTAAAAGATAAGGATGTTATAGATGACTAACTATTAATCTGTATTTATTATCCTAAATATCTTTCAAAAACTAAAACTTCACATAACTTTTTAAAATGAGCTGTATAGGTATAATATCTTAACCAAGAATAGAAACATATACAGTATAACAACATAATCTTACATTTGAATCAAATATACAAAAATCCATCCCAATGTAAAATACTTGAGAGCAATGGTTGTTTAAGAGTAGGCTCAGCAATCTACCCACTTATCTCATCATTTTTATACTATATCCCCCTTTTCCTTCAGAAAGAGATCCTTGAATCTAACTCCTTCTTTAGCTTTTTTCCTGACCATGACTAATAACAACTTGTAAATAATTTCCCCAAGTGACAGACAACTATAACCCATTGAATGACCAAAGCCACCCACCCCACCTCTTGGGAATGTGGTACTGTGTTTTCTAGTCTGCATCCAGTTGTCTGGGGGCGCTGACATCTTTAGGAAACCCTGGGAAAATTGGGATAATGGTCAAGTTCTGGGAGAAGTAGCTGTATCATTTTTTACCTAGCCTCTGTGCAATCAAGCAGTCTAGGCAAGAGCAGTTTCTTGCTCAAATGGCTAGTCACATTGAAGGCAAATTGCATAATGGGTTTCTTTAATGCCCATGAACCTCTCTGAAGTATTGGTGCTGCCAGAAGCAGATATATCTCACTGTCGAGAAAAGTCTAAGTTCTTAAAACATTTTAAATGCTATATTCTTTAAGTCTTTGAAAGTTTTGAGGAATACCTGTTCATCTGAAATATATCTCTGTACACCTGGAAAACCTAACTAACATGACTACAAGGTTTGACTATTATAAATGACTCTATTAATCTCCATTTCTCAATTATACATAACATTTTAAAATGAGCTACACAAACACAATATCTTAAATAAGAGCAAAAATACATATACGCTGTATAACAAATTTACCTTAAATTTGTATCATTAGATCACCATCCATACCAATGTATTCATCTCTATATCATATCTCCCTTTAAATGAAAACAACATCTACAAAGAATCACCTTGTGGTGATGCACAAATTAATGGAGATGGGTTAAATTAAGATGTAAGCGATAGCAAATAAGAAATTAGAGCTAATAGGTCAAGCAGTGATTTTATTTTATCTTTTTACACTAATTCTTTTATTGATACCTATTTTTGGCCTGCTTTTAAAATTTGTAATATTTGCTTTTAGAGCTAGTAGTTTTTGTCAATTTTGTTTTTAAAGTGTGTTTCTGACTTTACTGTCAACAAGTTGTAAGTTTTTTAGTTTATGCCAATTTTACATAACTATAAAAATTAGAACAAGGAAGGACCTGGGAATATATCACCTATTAACTAATTTTCCTAGACACCTAGGTTCTGGGTTTTATCCTCATTAACACCCCCCCCCTCACCCCCTTACACACACCCTGAAAAAGAAGGAAGAAAGAGAGCGGTTGGGGAAGAAGTCTCCTGTAGAATGCCTGATTTATTACCAATACCCAGATTAATGACATTCTTAAATCCACATTATTTGTAATAAACTGGCAGATGAATCTCTCTTTTTAGCTTAGTCAGCTTTTCTTTGTTTGTAGAATTTATGTAAATTTATTTTGACAGTTTGGTGTCTGTTTTCTTGATGCTAATATTAAAATTATAGCAATTACAAAGATAAGGATAGCTTGCGGTGACCCTCTGGCTTGACCACTTGCTAGGATATCTCAGAGCTCATTCAAAGCTCTTGAAGCCCTGCTAATTACTGGGGAAAGTGCCGTCTAGTCAGCTGTGGGAGAGGGTTTTGTGTTGAATGGAGTTTGGGGAACTTCTGTGGGTGGAACTTTCTGTTTTATCTCCAGAGGTCTGTGGGTTAGCACTAGCTGCTGCTAACAGTGAATGATGGTAGATAGGACTGCCACCTGAGGACTCTACCTCCGCCACTGGGCTGAAAGATAATTAGCCCAGGAGGCTCTGATTCCAGTGATGATGTTATTGAGAAGAAATCCTGTGTATTGGTTTTTCTTTTACTCTTTTGCTCTTTTACCTATTTTTTTTTGGGGGGGGGGTGCCGCCTACCTCCCAAATAAATAATATACAGAGGCTTAGTCTTTCTTATAAATGCCTTAGCTTGACTTGTTTCTAGTCTGCCTTATACCTTATCCCAGCTACCCTTTGCCTCTGGGCTTTTTCCTTTTCTTACTTCTGTGTATCTTACTTTCACTCTTACTCTGTGGCTGGCTGGGTGGCTGGGCCACCCTGTGTCCTCTCTCCGCGCTCCCTTGCTCCTTCTTTTCCAGATTTCTCCTTCTATTTATGTTCTCTGCCTACCAGCCCACCTATCCTTTCTCCTGCCTCACTATTGGCCTTTCAGCTCTTTATTATCAGGTGTTTTACACAGACAATCACAGCTCCACAGAGAAACTAATGCAGCATAAACAAAAGTAACACACCTTAAAATAATTTTCCACAGCTATCCTGAGCCAACATTTGCTTATAAATTAGTTTGCCTCCACCAAAATGATTAAAAGATGTTTGTGTAGACTTGAATAAGTAGGAGGGCAGAAGTGTCAAGCGCGCCCTACAGGACATACTAAAGCATTTTGTTGCCATTTCTTATTCCAGTGTTTGATAAACTTTGGGGCTGCCAACTAATGTCTTTAGTTTTCAAAAACAGGTTTTAGATGTCATAAAGCATAGCTTTTCTGAAAATAGCCTTAAATAAAGATAGCCTTTCCCTTCTACACCTGGTAGAAGGTGCTCAGCCTGTTCAGCAGTCTGTCTTTTAACATGCTGTGTGTGGAGTTGGTCTTGAAATGGCTGTAAAAGGCAAGGATTGCTGGAGGCGAGCGTGGGGAGCTGGACTGAAGGTAGCTCTGTAGAACTGATGCTGCTCGCCTGGTCTGCAGTGTTTGGTCTTTGTAGGGATAAAGGGGCAGGAGGAACTCAAAGCTCCCTGCTCTTGAAGATGTGCTCTATCCACGTGGTTGCTGTTTCCTTCACTGTGGGGACTGTTTGGGAGAGCCACCCCAAGTCTATTCTAAGCTGATCCCAACAAGATATGCAGTCTGAAATCTTTATTCTCTTTGACTTTTTTTTTCATTTATTAGGTTTATTGCCCCAGTATATGGCCACCATTATTTTAGTCAGAACTCAACTAGCACTGTGTCTGGCGTCACCCTTCTTTACCGTAGCCTGCAAAAGCATTTTCAGCACCAGGCTTCTCTTTCCCTGGCTTCCACTTTGCCATTTGCTCCCTTTCTTTGGAAGTCTTGATGCTCTTGAGAGTCTCAGGCTGCTGCTGTTCAGCCAGTCCCTAGCCAGCCTCTAGCATGAGAGCTGTTTCTGCTGCATACCTTGGTGTGGGAGACCCTTCTGAGCTCCTTGTTCCTCCACCGCTCTGTTCCATCACCATTTCCCTGAATGCCCTTGGAGCTCATGCATTTACAGTTACTTGGTTTTGGTGCCAAATCAAAACTCTATGAGTGTTTTGCTTCTTTTAGAACTATGGCAAAATTGAATGGATATCTTGGACAGTACACAAAGAGACCAAAGCAGACCAAGCAGCTCAGTACATTGCTTCATGTTGTAGCAACTCCAGGAAGCCTGAAGCAGAACTGGGCTTTTGACATTTACTGTTGTTAGTGTGTTGATGTAGGCAGCATGCTATTGTAGGACTCAGTTATCTAAGTGAATTATTCTTACCTGCTGTCTTTTTGTGGCAGCTGGGATTGTTTTATTATTTTTATCTGCAGTATAATTAGGGAAAGAAAGGAAGCACAGGTTACTTAGTCAATTTCAATGTAACGTATATGGTTTGACCACTGTGTAAGTTAGCTTTCTGTTACTGTAATGACAAATTTGTGATCGTTGGCTCTTAGTTTCAGGGGTTTGTTCTACGTTGCCTGGGTTTGGGGGTGGGTGTTGCTTTGGTCCTCTAATGAGGCATCATATCACACTGGGAGTTGTATGGCAGAGCTTACTGAAGAGAAAGCAAAACGGAGCCAGAGGCAGGGACCCAAAGCAACAGCATTCTCTTTAAGAGCATGCCCAAATAACCCACACTGCCTCCTAGTACCTCCATGTACAATCATGCTTTCACACATGGGTCCTTGAGGACATTAGCATCTAAACTGTAGCACTAGTAGAAGTTTTCCGTGATAGTTAAAATGCCTATGTGTGCAAAGGGCATTTTAATGAATTTGAATTAACAGTATACCATAATTCACCCTTCCATCTTTTTTGTTTTTTAATTAAGTATACCCTTCAGAGTCTGGGACATTAACATGACAAGGCTACAGCCTAGTTATACAGGCCTGGAACTAACCATGGCTATGCTTTTAAGGTGGTTGTAACAAAAAAAAAATTGATGATGATAATGACTACAGGATACAGGCTGTGACATCTTTGCTCTGTGGTTGCTTATGGAAATGGTTTGAGTTATCTGCTCTGGCTTTAATGTTCTGTCTCATCCAAGGCCAGCAGCAAGCACAGTGGCTAGACCATATTCATATCTCCTTACCTAGCAATGCATTCTTATTGATACTGACACAGACACACACCCCATTCTTAGTGACTCATTTAACAGTGACATCTATGTAAGTGCATGTTCGGGCATTTAGAATCTTTTGGTCGAAGTTGCAGTTCCATATTTTACTTAGTGTATATTTTACTCAAGTTGAATGAAATGATGATACGGTTCCAGTGAAATAGTGGACATTGCCCTAAAACCTCAAGTTTTCTTTAACTGGTGCTTTTATAATGCCTTTTTGTTTCTTAAATTTAAGCCTATGATGCTCAACTGCTGCACATATTTAAGTTTTTAGTAGATTAGAAACAATAACAAACCTGTGATCATGTACCCAGTTGCTTATTGAGTTATTCTATTTAAAGATGTTTTGAGAGAAAATAAAAGGCCAAATGAATCCGACACTGGGTTATTTGGTTTAATTTTCTAGAAAATAGGATTGCCTTTATCAGATCCCAGTGTCTCTTAGTCCCCTCACTTGGGTGACAGTTTGACAGTGGCTCTGCTGGGGTAGCGATGGGCTGGAGGAAGCGGCCTTGTCAGCAGACAGGGCTGTAAACTGAGCTCGGGGAACCAGGTCACCCCATCTTGACCTGCTGATCGCTGATGGCTTATGTCAGCATCAGAAAATGTGGCTGCACAGTTTCCTTTAAGGTTAATTTTGACTTAAGAGAATAACATTCATGTGTAAAATGTACTTCCTTCCTGCTCAGGACAGGACACACGTGGTTCGTCCCGCACAGTGAGATGCACATGTGAGTCCTGCTTTTGCAACCAAACTTGTCTGAACATTGTAGCAGCTGTAAATGTGGTGTGGGCAGATCTGCTCCATGGAGCAGTCTTTCTAGTTTAGCTTTTAATGCTTAGATGTAGGAACATTCTCTTCCATTTAACTTTACAAGTTGAATGTAAGTTTAAGCTCTGATGTGCAGGAATATTCTGGGTCACTTCTATCGTATAATTTAAGTTTGAGACAGTAAAGAAATCACTTTTTCTTTATCCAAATCAGTGAAGACAATTAAAAATATGTACTGACTATTCCTCTCCCATGTGTTTGTTTTTCTTTTTATGGATGTGTTTATTCAATTCAATATAGGAGCAGTCTGTTTATTTTAGAATTTAAAACAGAACTCTGGTGGCATTACAGAAAAATGTAGTATTGAGGACAAAATTAGGATTAAAAACTAATTATAAGAAGCAGAAAAATAAATGTTCTCTGGAGTTGAGGACATATCCATAAGCGTTTGAACATTGAATTTAACTCTTGAGTTTTGTAAAAGACCAGTGGGTCAAATTGATTTATATAGGTCTCATAAAAGAAATAAACACATTCACATTTGCATGAAGCAGGCTTGTTTGATTGTTTGTATAGTATAAACCTGGCACCTGTGCCTAGGTAATCAAGCAGAATCTGCAACAGACTCACCATTTGAATGTTAGTACTTAATATTTAAGAGTGATGTTTATTTCACTGTGTTAATTCTGAAAGACCTCAGAGTGAAACATCTTAGATTTGGGTTTTCACTTTAGCAAATTGTGTGGAAAAGTAGAAATCCAGGCTGGTTCTGCCACTGTTTGGAGGAGAAACTTCTTCATTATAAGCGAATACAGTTCCCTAAGGCACAGTAAATCTCCTGCTCTCATTTTACAGACATAAAAACAGACGCCTAGGTTGTGTGAGTTAGGGTCTATGCTGTGTGGGCAGCCTGGGACGAGCTTTGAAGGCCTGTAACGAGGTTGCCTGAGTTCATGTCCAAGTTGGGCTTTGTTACCTTGCCAAACATGTTTAATTGTGTGGAGCCATAGTTTTGTCATCCTTCAAATATAAATTCTGGGATGTGCATCCCTGTCAGTGGTGGCATGTGCACCTCAGGATTGCAGCATTTAATGCATAGTCCCAGCTCACCCAGAGCGTGCTCTGCTGTCTTCATTATGTCCCGGCTCTAAGATCTGACATCAGAGTCTTACTTCTTACCTGGTAACTGTTTGGAAGGTTCCCTTTTCACTAGGTAACAGCTCTAAACATGTTTTACTAAGTGGTTCATTCCCCAATATTTTTTATCAGAGTCAAGGAATGTAAACAGCCCACACACTATCTGTCCAGAGTTGGTGCATTGATATGTGTTGTGAAATGTTTCCTTGGAACTTCCAGGAAATTATTGTGAATATAAGACAAGTAATATATATTCCCCATGTTATAGTCTGGGCCCCAAATTAAATTTTTTGAACTTGGTAGAATCCAAATAACATTACTTCTATTTTACAAAGTAAAGCTGAGAAATAAGACTTTTTTCTGTGGCCACATTAAAAGGCCATGCTAAAGACCTGCAGTGCCTGAAGTCTCACTTTCTCTTTTTTTTTTTTTTTTCACTGTGTCTTAAGATTAGGCAAGTGTGTAAAAAAAAAAAAAAGATTAGGCGAGCGTGTTAGGTGCTGCTTGAATAATGTTAAGCTGTGAGTGACGTTAATGCTGTTATCTGTGTTTTTTTTTTCTATTCCAGAATATTGCCTATATATGTTCCTCTTGAATGGTGGAAATGATAGAATAATTTGTAAAAATTGCTTCAAAATATGATTTTGGTGAACTATCTTTCTGTCCATTGAAGTGGCCCATATTTTAACTAGGCTTATTTGTTTTTTCCTAGCTATCCACCAAAAACTCGAAGCGGATGGAACTGAAAAAGTAGAAGGATCCATGACACAGAAACTGGAGAATGTCCTCAACAGTGAGTTTGTTCCACTACCCAGACTAGCAGGGGCCTTTATAACAAGCTGTAGTGCAGGTCTGAGGGGTTCCCAGGGCAACGTCCCGAGCTGTGCTTTAGTCTCCCTTCTAAACAAGGACTTAAGGAGCCTGCAGGGCTGTGGGAAGAGTGAAGGGAACCCATTTGCATTTTACCGTACTCTGAAGGTGTGTTCCTCAGGAACTGTCATTTGCTGACCTGGAACGGGGAGGGGGGGGGGCACCGAGACAGCAGCCAGGGTTCCCACCGAGTGGACACCCGAGTCTCAGCTGTCGGATGTTCAGTGCTTTCGGATGTGCAGTGCCCAGTGCAGAGCCTCAGCCCCTGCCCAACAGCTGCCCAGCATTGTCTGCTTATTTATGTTCTGCATTTTCCCACCGGGATACACTCTGGAACATTCTGTAAAAGTTATAGAACCCACACACCCCACATTTGGTGTTTCCTCCACTTTCCCTTTTGTTCCTTTTCTGGCCTTCCAAACTACCCTAGTAATTTAGAAAAATCTCATCAGATGAATTAATTTTTATTGTATGTAATGTGTTTTAAATGTAAGTTATATTTCACACATGTAGTCAATATGCAGTCTGAAGCAATGATGTCCATAAGAGTCTCCTCGAATATATGATTTCCTTATAAAGAAGGAATGAAAAAAAATCAGGCAACCTCACATAGATGTTTAGAGATTTTTCCAACCAGGATTATGATAGGAAGTTAATTTTGTATTTATAGCTTGGTTTAGTTCCATGAGTAGAACATTCTGTCTTTATGTAACCATCTCTTCATAGCCCTAGTGATGTCAGTACGGAAGTATTTTGTGGAAAGAGTGCTAACTCTGGTGTAGGCTTTCCTTGGTGTTAGAATTGGAATACTTGGACATTTCATTCTAAGCCTGCATTTAACAGGATTTAAAACCTTTCCCTTTGTTTATCACTCCTGTGGTTATTGCTTGCCTTGGGGCTTGCTGTGCTTTTGCTTCTGAGACCAAGTTACAAACTTTGTTAAAATGAATATATTCAGAATTTTACCCAAACAAAGATTTCCCAAAGCCTTTTCAGTGTCAGTGCCGCTAGATCTGTTGAAGGTTTGGAAGGGTGCTTTCTCCCCACGGGTGTTATCTGCATCTCTGGAGTTGTCAACAAGCTATAGCATTTGTACAAAAGAATGAGATTACTTGGGTAATTTAAATGGTGATATAGCACCGCACTGACATAGTTCCTACTGACTACTAAAATCACTTTGCTGTGTTTCGGCTTGTATATCTGTTGCCATGGTTACTCATAATGCCTTTGTATACTGTGCTCTGCCTCTTTGGGTAGAAAAAAAATACTTGTCATTGTTAGGCTCTCTGCCGAAGCAAAATTCCCAATCAAGCCAAATCACAACAAGCCAAATTAAAAAATATCCAGGTTTAATGGGATTTCTCGGGTGGAATTGGGAAGCTGCAAAGGCAACCGCCAGGAGGAGAGGAAAGAGACCACGAGGAGACTTTCTGGGGGAGCAGTTTAAATAGACTGAGAAAGTGGTCAAGATTTTGGCGGACTGTCTTGACTGTCCTCCGGGGAGGTGTCAAGGTTTGGCGGGCATAGGGATGGGTTCTCCAAAGATGGAGGCCAGAGACGTAGACTTACAGTCATTGTCTCAAATCCTGAGCTTTAGTCCTTGGTTCTATAAGCATTTGATGAACACTCATTATTATAATCACAGGGCTATAAAAACAGAACCTGTGCTTTGTGTGTAACTGCTTAGAAAATATAGACATGTTAGCCGGTTATTGAATCATGCTGTGTTAGTATCTGTAGCAATACATGTCTTACTGATGATAATCCAGGGGTATATCTAGAACTTACACAAAGAGCACCTCGCTGAAATGTAAGGAATCTGTGGGTGGAGTGTCTCAGTGTAACACTTGCCCAGCACAAGTGAGGCTCTGGGTTCATCCTCAGCATAGTGCTCATTTTCCCTAGCCTCAAAGTGGAAAATAGGAAAATCATCACGTGTGCCTTAAAAGAGAAGTAGGATGCAGCCAGATAGATAAGCAGAGACTGGCAGGTGAGCAGTGAGATAGGTGGATACAGTGAGAAGAAGCCTTGTCTGTCTCCTGCCTGGTCTCCAGCAGCCTGGAAGGGAGGCAGTAGCTCTAGAAAGGTAATAGGTTCCAGGCCGGTAAGTCAGGAGTGATTGATGCCTGCTGAGCCCAATGAAGTTCTCCTTGAAGGTGGTGAGCCCCTAAAGGAGTTTAGTGAGGGAGCTATGAGATGGAGTGCTGAGGAGGGTAGGCTAGGTGGTACCCCCGTAGATTCAGTAGGAGACCAGATAAAGGTCAACAGTCAGTGAACTTAGCAGATGAAATAGACTATCCAGGACAGGTAAAGGTGTACTGGATCATTGGGTGTATATGTGCAAAATAATAAGAGGAAAATGGTTTGTGAGACATATAAATTTCTAGCCTTAAACGAAGGAAAGGGAGCTGGTTAGGTAAGAAGAGAGTAGAGAAAACGTTCTTTTCAGTTTTTGTGTAACCTGAGACTGGGATTCCTGAGAGTTGATCACTGACTGTCTTCCTGACCATCACTCACTACCTCCTTGTATTAAATCAGGCAAATGGGCTTTGAATAGTTTTGCATTTTGGTTTTTTATTTATTTTGTTTTGTTTTTCAAGATAGGGTTTCTCCATAGTTTTCCTTTGGTGCTTGTCCTGGAACTAGCTCTGTAGACCAAGCTGTCCTCAAACTCACAGAGATCCGCCTGCCTCTGTCTCCCAAGTGCTGGGATTAAAGGTGTGCGCCACAAACACCTGGCATGAATAGTTTTGGAGTAGAAAATGAATCAATACAGTCTTTCCTAGAACTGGACCCAGCATGATGCTATCAAACTGACCCGCCAGACAAGATATATACACCAGTGCGACAGTGGCAGGACAGTTCTGGAGAGAGCCAACATCTTTGGGATTTTTAGGCTTGTCCCTGGTGTGAAACCCATGGCTGAGAAGGTCTTAAATCCTAGTGGGAAACCTTTTCTTGTTTTGTTAAATAGTACTGTTGTCAAGCTGCCTTCTCAATAAGTGTGTGTGTGTGTGTGTGTGTGTGTGTGTGTGTGTGTGTGTGTTTATACATTTAGATTTGTGATGCTCCCAACATTGGTCAGCGAACCTTCTTTTTGTGGTGGGCTGTGGTTAATACAGGGGTTCATTACTGGTCCAGGTGCTGATAACAAGTGAAGAATGTGAGAACTCAACTCTTTTTTTTTTTTTTTTTGGTTTTTTCAAGACAGGGTTTCTCTGTGGTTTTTGGAGCCTGTCCTGGAACTAGCTCTGTAGACCAGGCTGGTCAAGAACTCAACTCTTAGTGGGTTGTCTGTATGGCTCCCCTCCACTTTGTGGAAAAGAATGGAAGAACCAGAAGGCGGGGGAGGGGGCTGGGAAATGTTGTTAGAAGCTCACAGTCTCTGTGGTCACCTGTACAGGACAGTGTCTTTAGGAGCTACAGTCGCTGTGGTCACCTGCACAGGACAGTGTTGTTAGGAGCTCACAGTCGCTGTGGTCACCTGCAAAGGACAGTGTTGTTAGGAGTGTACAGTCCCCTGGGTTTATCTGCACAGGATAGTGTTGTTAGGAACTCACAGTCCCCTGGGTTTATCTGCACAGGACAGTGTTGTTACCTGCACAGGACTTGCACAAGATGAAGGCCATCAAGACTCCAGCGAGGACTGGGGAGGGCTCATGTGGTTCCACCCTTAATTGAGGTGATGTTGACACAGCTGATGGCTGCTGTAGGAGAGAGTTGTTTTCTGTGCCAGTGTGGCCATTGAGGTTTTCATGCTTCAGTGGAGAGCCCCACATTTTGTGTATACGGATTGCACTAATTATACTCAGTGAGGTTAATAAAAAATGTACAAAGTTGATAGGTCTAGAAAATCTGAAGTTAGGAGGAACATGTGTTAGGAGGGGTTGGGTGAGTTATAGGGGGTAATGGTGGGGGTATATGATCACATTGAATACATATATGAAATTCTCAAAGAACAAATTTAAAATACTTGAAAAGTGTTGGATAGATGAGGTGACTTGCTTGCACTGTGAAGTGAGAAGAAGCCTTGTCTGTCTTGGAGTGGTGTAAGCATGTGCGGCCTTTATAGGAACATCCCCTGGGAAGCAAGCATACGAGCTGTCATTGTATGTCTAGTGAAAATGTTGTAAAGATTTCTCTTAAGTTCACAGACACATCCCGAGATACACAGCTGGCGTTAGCAGTGTAGAGATGGTACTTGAAGCAATGAGACAGAGTAATTTAATCCAAGTAGTATGTATAAAATGAAATGACCAGGCCCGCTTATAACAATAAGAATCAAGTCTGTGAGAGAGAAACTGAGTTCTACTAATTGATTGGCTGCTAAGTATTTATTAAGTTGCATTCAGAAAAGAAAAAAAGATGAACAGCCCAAATTTTAACCTTTCCTAAGCTCTTATTGAAACCAATTGGTTCATGAGAGTTACCAGCTTCAGCTGTCTGATTCCTGATGACATCTTCTGTGTGTGCGCACACGTGCGCATGTGAGTGTGCAAGCACGTGATGTGGATCTGTAGGGCCCCAGGCTGTGGTGTGCTGTCTGAGAAAGCAGTGTCCACTGTCTCAGGCATTCTGCTCTAGCACTCAGTTAGAGAGAGCAGCTAGCGAGTCATCCTGGCGCCTGTTGAAACAGAGGCACTCGAAGTAGGTTTGGTCTTTGGGGGGCCCTGCCTTCGCCAATGTCAGTGTGCAATTTTGAGGTATTTTAATTCTCGGGCTGCTTTCACATTTGCCTTCCTACTCTCACATAGCTTGCCTTTCCCTGGGAACAAACTGTGTGATGGTTGGGAACTCCTGTGTTGTTCTAGCCCCTGTATTCCCATGAGGCACAACACAGCACACACACACAGAGCAATCACTTCTGTGATCTCACATCTCAGGTTGTCAGTACAAAGAAAGGGACTAGTGTGGTCACTTTGAAATAGGAGACAGCATAATGTCGACTTTAAATAAACATGCCTGAAATTATAAACCACAGTCAGAATGACAGAACTAGATTTTCTGGTGGCCGTAAGAGACAGGTATGGCTGTAATGGATCAGTGTGTAGTGTGACAGCAACTGCTTCTCTTGCTGCGCTGGGGCACATTTTACTGTTCTGTGAGTCCAGCCCGCTTGGAGTGGCCGCTATGGTGGGCGTGATAGCTTTGCCATTATGTTTTCCCTGGGGCTCATGTGTAACTGTGAGGCAGTTACTCATTGTCCCATCAGCTGCATCAAACTGGGATGGCCATTCCCAGTTAAGGAGGAAGGGTGTTTGAGACCCAGTACCAGTCTGTTGGCGCCTGTGGGCAAAGGCATGGCCATCCAACCCAGATCCATTTGTTCCGTGGTCACTCACTGGACACGCAAACGGCTATCAGTTGACTTCAGATTGGGCGTTCTTGGTGTGAGGGAGGAGCAGGTATGTGTGGGTTAGCATACACGCAGGATTTCTGTCAGATGATTTTTTGGACACCCAGCTGATGTCTTTGTCTACATCACTAGTCCCTCTCTCCTGCACGGTGCTGGTGCTGTGGTCTGCTTACGTCCTAGGAAAGACACTTAGAGCACTTTGGGGCTGCTGCTGGTTGTATCTGTTGTGTAGATCCTGGTTTCATTACGCTCATATATTTTATCATTTACTGTCTCTCCCAGTTGTCAGAATTATAACAACCAAATTTTTATTGTAGATGCAGTAAAAATCACAACAGTATCATAATTTTTGCAAAAGTTGTCTATATAATTTTCAACATCGTATAAATTCAAATTCCCAGTTCACAAATTTTGGTGTAAGTTAGATTTTTTTCATAGTTTATAAATTCTTCCTACAAAATTATCTCTAGAAAATGTATATATGTTATTTAACAGTGTGTTTTCTACAGGTTCTTATTTTCATATTTTTCGGAGTTAAAATTATTAGCTGAAAATTTCTTGTTACTTTAAAATGATGAGAATAATTTAATTTTGAACTAAGACTATTAACTCTGAATTCTTTCGTTGCATAGAAAAAGGAATTTGCTGGTGTAAGACTCAAACTTCACATTTAAATAAGTAGCCTTTAAAAAAATTCTGTTCCATGAGCTTATCCAGTTACAAAGCTTACACTCACGAAGTTTGTATTTTTAAAATGATAAACATATCCTTTAAGTTAGTTTTTCTTGAAGAAAGTTTTAAAATTCTAATCAACTTTCAAATACTCGCTCAAGCCTCCATGTATTTCTCATCCCACAAGAGAGGTTTAGCATGCACGTTAAATAGCACGTGGGAAAAACAGCTCTCTTGACCAAACCAAGTTTTTATATCAGACCTTTAAAATTTCAACAGAATTTAAACATTATTTAGATAAAACAATCATGTTACAAAGACGACTTTTAACAGGATCAGGCCACCCACAGTGTGGCCATGGTGTGCAAGCCACCCAGTGAGACGAGGTGAGTTTTTCATCTTTGCTTAAAGTATAGTCACTAGACCAGATAATGTAGAAACTTTTTACAAGCAGCGCAGACAGCTGAAAGCAGTTTGTCCCCTCTCTCTCTCTCTCTCTCTCTCTCTCTCTCTCTCTCTCTCTCTCTCTCTCTCTTCCTCTCTGTCTCTTTCTCTCATTCACATGTTTCAAAATTTAAACTATTTTTTGTATCGCACTCTCTGCCTTAGCAAATCAGCATTCATTAAAGTGATACATATAATTTGTGCTTTTTAAAGGAAAGAATCTTAGGAAATGTCCTGTTTGTACCTAATTTTATTAGATTCAGCTGATTTAAGAAACAGTAATGATGCTATGTTAGGGTTTTGTCATTTAGGTTTATAGAATTCTCTGGGCCTGCAACATAGAAGGATAGATAATTCTGTCAAGAAGTAGGGTTAGTTGTCATGACTTTTCTTAAAAGCTTCTGAAGACACTTTCCCTTCTCTAATTTATTACCTGATAGATTGATATAGAATTAATAGAATTTAACTGGTGTGTGTGTGCCTCATTCTCCAAAATAATGAAATCACCTAAGCACCCACAATTGTTAAAATAATGAAATAGGCTAAGCACCCACAATTGTTAAAATAATGAAATAGCCTAAGCACCCACAATTGTTAAAATAATGAAATAGCCTAAGCACCCACAGTTGTTAAAAAATTTAGACGAGTAGATAAAATAAGTTTAGATTCACATTGGAGAAAATTACTTAGGCTTAGTAAATGTTGTTGCTTTTAATTAGATACCATTCTTAACATATGAAAGGACTTATGAACCAAATTTCATTTTAGTAAACTGTGAAATCTCTATATAGGTAGGTAGCGTTTGTGTTCAGATTCAGGTCACTGTCACCTATGTTCTTTTTCTCTGTTGAAAACAGGAGCAAGTAACACTGCTGACACATTATTTCAAGAAGTGTTAGGTCGAAAAGACAAAGCAGATTCCACTAGGAATGCCCTCAATGTGCTGCAGCGATTTAAATTTCTCTTCAACCTTCCTCTCAATATTAAACGGAACATTCAGAAGGTAGAGTATATACAGCCATAGATGCTGCCGGTGTTAAAGCTGCATTAAGGTATTTTAGATTAACCAGTGTGCTTACTGCTCTTTCCTGACAATCTCACGTTGTTTCTTCTTTTCAAGGGGGATTATGATGTGGTTATTAATGATTATGAAAAAGCCAAGTCACTCTTTGGGAAAACAGAGGTGCAAGTTTTCAAGAAATGTAAGATTTTTTTTTTTGTTACTTCTAGACCTTTCCTTTGCTTTCGTAAGAAGGATATGGGGTGTATATTCTACAAAGAGTGCTGCTTGCATCTTAGATCTCGTTTATGTGGTGCTGTCTTTAAAATGTAAAACAATTAGTTCAAAATAAGCACAAGTGTTCTTACTGCTCTGTATGGGAATGAGCACTTATGGTGGGGGCTGGTCTTTATTAACCACAGTGCTAGGGAATGCTTTCATACTAGAAGGAAGCGGTGACAGGCATTTCAGAGATGTGCAAACATGCATTTCAGTTCTCCCTCTTCAAGCTGAAACAGTGTATTTATGAGTTCTAATCTTACTCTAAAGCAAACTCAATACTTCTAAAAATTACTTTGAATACCAGGTTTACAAAAGAAAAGCTTAAATATCATATGGTTAAAAACTTATTAACTAGGAGAAATACCATAGATCTTATTAAATTTAAAAGAATGAAACCCATAAGGTCTCAAAAAGCAGAATTTATTTCTTTGCTGTGGTGAAACTTACATGCAGTGAAATGCACAGACCTTACGTGTTACAGGTCACCGAGTTCTGCGCATGCTTGTGCCTCCCATACACTGGGATGGTGTGTTTTGATCTCTCCACAAAGGTCCCTTGTGTGTCTTCTCAATCAAAAAGCAACCAGTATTCCACTTTCTGACATTTGATTTTAAGTTCAGTTCTGTAAATCTTGCATCTTTTAAAAATAGATTATGCTGAAGTAGAAGCAGGAATTGAAGATCTAAGAGAATTACTTCTAAAGAAATTGCTCGAGACTCCATCAACCTTGCATGACCAAAAGCGTTACATAAGGTAAAACTTCTGCAAGAATTATGACAGATTGTGTATATGTATGGGATACATTGTGAAACCTGCAGAGCTTATTGGGGGCATTCAGGAAATTAATGAAGTAGTGAAAGGGAAGACAATAAAAATTTGGAGGTATTTGGTATAGGACATGAACATTGCTTGAATATGAATAAATAGGGAGCAGTTGTGAGAAGGAAAGATGACCTGCCGGGTTGACCAGAGGAAAAACAATCTCATGGCGCAGTCACCTGTTTCTCCACCTGACTTCCCGGTGGTCTGGGTGCTGCACCCTGCAAATGCCATGCTCCGTAAGAAGGTGTTCCACTGTGGGAAGTTAGAGCTCGGGTGTGCCGTGGCTTGACGGTCGCAAAGGATATGGACTTATTTTCTGCTGAGCTATCCTAAGTGTGGTCTGTTCTCAGAATAAGCTGTTATTTCCCAAATTCAATGACTTTTTTAATTAGTGAAATTTACTAAAAATTCAGTAGCTTGAAAATGAAATAGGCTACGTATTTGTATACATTTGTCTGTGGCCATTGAAAATACTGTCTTTAGGCCTGGGAAGATGGCCTGGCCCCAACACTGGTGGAACACTAATGACCTGCACTTAAATGTCTTCTAGCGATGGGAGTGGTGGGGGCAGATGTAGAACAGGGTTTAGTAATGGAGCCGAGAGCAGTGAAATTGTCTGCTGCTGCGGCTGCTGTTGCTGCCGTTGCTGGGAAATGTAGGCTATGGTCACACTGGACTGGGTCCTGTGTTTTCTTTCTGGTCAAAGGGCCCAAGTGGGCAGAGGAACCTGGGCTTGTCCAGCACACACAACCAGGACACCTGCTTCTCGGGTGTCACAGGCCCCCCTTGCCTGTCTGAGGAAATGTATACACAAAGAACTTTCCTGGATGCAGAGAGAGTGGAAGTAAACGCGGCATGAATCAGCCAAGTACCTCAGAGTTTTGCTGTTTGTGCCTCAGAGGGTTAGCTCCCTTGTCACATGTGAACAAGCTAAATTTACACTGAACTCCTGAGTCCAAAATCGAGAAGGCACTGAGAAATCTGGTGATTAACTTTAAAAATTATATTTTTAGCATTGATGAATAGAAAAATAAAATCAGATCAGAGCCAGGTCAAGTGTGTTTGACTTTAATGTCTACGGTGATAGGGCCTGTGAGCACCAGGTAAAGCCAGACAGCCTGGGCACAGCCACGTGTGTCAGATTGTCGCTGCCGTACATACTGCTGTTTGTCTGACTCTCCCCAGGCGTAACTGAAGACACCCTCTCCTGGTAGCTCAGCCAGAAGCAGAGTGCCCCTCTCTTCTCTCTGCGGCAGTGTGGCCCTGCTCCTGGAGCTGCTCAGTCACCAAAGAAAAAGGCTGAAAATGCTTTTAGGTTTCCTTTGTTTTCCCCAGAATTGAGCCCATTCTCATTGAAAATGTGCTTCCTTAAATTCTAAAACACTTAATCTATGCTCGTCAGAATTAAAATTCTTTACCTCCCTCCCTTTCTAGAAAGCCTTTTCCAAAAATGTTCTCCAATATGTCATTAAAAAGAAAGGCAGTAACCTCTACCTTCTGAACAAAGATCTATGTAATGAAACTGCCAGTTTCAAGCTTCGTATTGAAAAGAAAAGAGATGTACTGGAGTCTAGAACAGAACATCACACTTTCTAACGGGAACATTCCCTAGGATTTTTGAGACAGGAACTTCACTTTTCTTCATAAACATTTCTAAGAGCCTTCAGTTTCATATTAACCTGACAGGGGATTATTAAAAATTCAGGACCATACTGTATATGTTAAAGAGATTTAGAATTTTAGAAGTTACAAAGCAGATTTACTGGTCTCCTGCTTAAGGGCCCCAGTGCTACAGTGACTGTGTTCTTAGCCAGTGTCTTCACAGTGGAAAGGCAGTGGCTTCTGTAAGGGAACACTGCTCTGCGTTGCTGTGGACAGAGAACTGGAGGGGTGAACGGAAGTGCTAGGTGCACTGCAGTGTCCAGATGCACAGCAGCCATACAGACAGGAAGAGTGTTGCAACTACTGTTCTCAGCGGGAAAGAACAGATCGTGTGTTCTTAGGAAAGTAGAGACACAGACTAGTATTTGCTGCATTTATATCCCAGTTAATAAAAGAGTCAAGCTCTGTGGGAGAGGAAAAATCGGATTGGATTTGGGGAGCTTGTTTGGATTGAATTCCTCATAGTAAGCTAAATGTAATTTGTTGGAATGTGGTTTTCTTCTGAGGATTGTGTTCTCACAAATGAGGAAGGCTCTTAGGTGCCTTTTTATATGGGTAAATCCTTCCTTTAAGTTGGCTTCCTCCCACTCAGCACATAGACACAACTGTTTGCAGCCCCTGGACAGTGGCAGGGAGGACAGACAACCATCGCAGTGCTTGGCAGGCCGAATTGCTGCGCCTTGGGGAGTCGGGCCTCTGAGCCATTAACTCCTGAGGGTCAGGGTTGGCGTGGGGCCTTCCTAAGTGCAACCAGGATTCTGCTCACCATCTTGTTTGTTGTGAACTTATTACAAAATGGGTTTGATTCTCCTCTGATTAGCTGCTAATTGAGATGTCTGAGTAATGAGTGCCCACTCCTGAAGAAATGCGGGCATGCCCCACGGTGATCAGGACTTGACTAAGGTCACAGCTTGTAACCATCAGTGAACATTTATCAGGGACCACAAACCTCAAGACAAAAGAAGCTGAGGGTTAGAAAGTATTTTAGGGTGGTAAGCCCGTTCAAGCATGCTTCTGGAGTTGACACGTGTATTATACAAGGGCTCAGAGCCAAGTAAGTAATGTTTGACAGAAAAATTTCAGTTGAAATACATTTAAATTTTCTAGATGGATGTGGGTATTTCTTGTGCAAAGAAAACTTTAAATATTTTAAGAACCATTGAAAGTTAAGAAAGTGTCCATCTGCACTGCATTTCATAGAGAAGTTGTCCCGCGGTTGTGAATGAGTTTACACCCTAGAGGTGAGGGCATATTGTTAGAGACCTTAAGTTTCAGCGGCCTCCAGCATAAGTCCTCTCAGGACGGTGTCACATTGCCATCCAGTGGCCGTATTTCATACCAGGAAGGGGGGGGAATTGTCCTCTCAGTGCCCTCTGCTGGCTCCCACCTAGGTTCAATGAAACAGCTCTCGAGTAATAGAAACACATGAGAGAAGTGACTTTAAATGTAAAGTTAATTTTTCCTCTTCCTCACAAAAAAAAAAAAAGAACAAAACCCACCCCAGGTTTAGGTTGAGCAGCTTTGCATGATAAATGCTTACTATAATGTGGTTTATAGGAGTGGAGTAGAATAGAGGGATGGCCAGTGGATCTGCTGTGGTTGATAAATGGGAAGTGTACTTGCTTCTGAGCACTACTGGTCAGCTGGTTTCTCCTTCTCTCACTCTCTTTATCTTTCTCTTTGTCTCTCTCCCTCCCTTTTTTCCTTCTCCCTCTACCCACCCCTTTTGGTTTTCTTTCTTGTTTTTCTTTAAATAAGAAAGTGAGAATAAGTTTAAATGTGAAGAGTTCTTAAGTTCTAAGTGTTCTTGACTTAAAGAGATAAATTAAAAGTCTGCAGCTGGGGCTGCAAAAATGGCTCAGTTGTTGAGAGCACTGGCTGCTCTTCTAGAGAACCTGGGTTTGATTTCCAGTAACCACATAGACGTTCACAGCTGCCTGTAACTCCAGTGCCAGGAAACCCAGGACCATCTATGGAACTCCACAGACACCAGGGACACTATATACTTAATATAGGCGTGTGCGTATACATGAAATTAAGAAAGAAAAAAACCCCACAGTTTTATCATTTTCTGTTGAGTGAAAATAATTTAATGTATTTCATTATGAACAAAATATTAAAGGCAAATATTGACAAGTGCTTTTCTAGTTAGTTGAGTTTTAGTTTTTCTTTAAAAAATGGTAGTGCTGACATACCAGTCTTTGCCTTTACTGTTATAACAGGAGGCCTCTTGCCCTTTGCTTTTTCAGGTATCTCTCTGACCTTCATGCACCTGGTGACCCTGCCTGGCAGTGTATCGGAGCTCAGCACAAGTGGACACTCAAACTCATGCAAGACTGCAAAGAGGGCCACATGAAGAGTCTAAAAGGCAAGAGATTCTCTTCCAAATTACTTGTTAATGCTTAGTAGTTAATAGAATAGTGACAAGATTTTCTTTTTTGTTTGTTTGTTTTGTTGTTGTTGTTTGTTTTCTGTTTTTCAAGACAGAGTTTCTCTGTAGCTTTGGGGCCTGTCCTAGAACTAGCTCTTATAGACCAGGCTGGCCTCGAACTCACAGAGATCTGTCTGTCTCTGTCTCCTGAGTGCTGGGAATAAAGGCGTGTGCCACCACCGCCTGGCTTGAGATTTTCCTGATATTGGTAGCTGTCTTTATTGCTGTTGGTCCTCTACACTGCTGTTTAGCACTCTACCTAACAGTGGGTGCCAAAAATAAAGGAGAGCACTCCTAATCTGTGTTTTTTATTATCTAGCAGTATTGGCAAAACTTTATTTTATTTGATGGGAGAGTTAAATTTTATAAGGGGTTGACATGATGCATGATGCTGTAGAAACCGTACTGGTCCTTGATAAGTTCCCGTCTTCATCAGGCCTGTGGAAGTCACCTGTGGACTAGGTGGGTACCAAGTGCTAGACAGACAGTGGTGTAAGAGAAGTAGGCCTTGCCTCCTGGGGACCCTGGAAGAGGAAGGGCAATGTGCTAACATGCAACTAGGCAGTTACAGCGACAGTGCTAGGACAAGTGAGTAAAAGGAAAATGACAAAGCTTCTGAAGGAAGGTAACTGAGAAGAGTATTTCAGACAGCTTAGAGAGGCTCCAGGTTAGCTAAGAATTGGGAGGAACTGCCAAGAAACCTCTAGCTTGAGAAAGGAACCACTGCCCAGGACTCTGAGGTAAGTGAGAAGAAAGAAATTAAAAGTGTATTTGTGTGCAGGTTTGTTGGCATTTCTTTGTTTAATTCTGTCACTCAGCAAATATATGTTGCTGACTGTGCTTAAGATACTGTTAGTTGTCGGTACAACCCCAAGGGTCTGATTGGTGTCTAACATGCTAAAGGAGGCAGAGGTAACTGACTAGGTGGGGTGCTGCAGAATATGCCATTTCCTAAGATAGGACAAATTCTGAGTGGCGTGGTAGCTTACAGGAGCAAATTCTGATCCTAGCTTTGATGGTCAGTGAAGTGGTTTGTGAGATCTCTGTTGGGAGGAGGAAGAAAGATCTGAACTGCATGAAAAACTATTCTAGGAAGAACATAAGGGAGCCAGAGAGAGACAGCCTTGTGTTCTCTGTGGCTGGAACTGAGTGCTGATAAAAGCTACAAGAGTTCAGGCTACAGTTAAGATGAACAAATAATGGACTTTGATAGCTGCCTGGAGAGGTTTGGAGATTGTCCAGAGAGCAGCAAGGGGTCATGAAATGATGACAAGCAGGGAAACATGGTATCTTTGGCTTCCGTGTGGAGAATAGATAAGAAGGAACAATTCTATAACAGGGTTGGTGAGGTAGGCAGGTGTCAGCAATTGACCTAGCATAGGGTAGGGAACGTGAAGTGCGAGGGTGGGGTCAGGGCTCTTTAGGAAATAGAACGGGCAGGACTAGGGCTGGAAGTAGGAACAGGAGGACGAGATGGAGGATGGTGCCTTAAGTCTACATCTGCCTGAAGTAGCTCATTAGCATGGCGGCCCTATTAAGAACTGGGGAACTTAGTGCTTACCCCAGCTTGAATTTGACAGGTGAGTTTGGAATTGTCTGTCATGAAAGAAGACAGTGAAGAGGTAGTTAGATTCAGAGACTTGGAGGTGGTTTGTACCGAGATGGTCCCTTGAAGTTCTTGCATTTATTCATGAAGATGGAAAAGGAAAGAAAGAAAATCAAGGACAGAATCCAGAGGGGCCTCAGTAAATGGCTGGGAGGAGGAGAGCAGCCTGGACTGGCAGCAGTGAAGAGGTGGCCACAGGAACAGCACAGAGGCAGACAGCATAGTTTGAGAAACAAAAGAGCTAGAAGGACTAAGAACTTCATTGCTTGAGCACTGCGTGCTCCTGGTGTCCTTGGTGAGTGTAGCGCCAGAGCCTTAGGCACCTGGGAAGGGAATGAATGGCAGCCAGGTCCCAGGAATGTGGGGGAGCAAGCAGCATGAGGTCAGCACTGTGGCATCGTGGGAAGATACCAGTCTTCATTGGTAACACATTTGTCATTAATGAGCTATCTTGGGCTTATGTAATTTTCAGTTCCAATTCTGTTTCCATGTTTGATACTTTGGAAACCCTATGTATTTGAAATGATGCCAGTACCTCAATTGCTCTTTTTTTTGTTTTGTTTTGTTTTTTTTTTTGTTTTTCGAGACAGGGTTTCTCTGTGGCTTTGAAGCCTCTCCTGGCACTAGCTCTATAGACCAGGCTGGTCTCGGAACTCACAGAGACCCGCCTGCCTCTGCCTCCCGAGTGCTGGGATTAAAGGCATGCGCCACCATCGCCCAGCTCTCAATTGCTCTTAATAGTTTTAACAATTCTTAAATTGTTGTAAGGGAAGGTAAAAGCATATAATATGGATGGTCTTTGGAAATCTTAAGAGTGCCAAGCAGTCATTTTTCAGTCTACTCGGTTCCATAGACTGACCATCAGAACCTCGGAAACTTTTTAACATCTGTCATCTACTAGTCTCTACTCAGGCATGCCCAGCCTTTGACATTAGGACAGAAAATTGTGCTCTACAAAGTTCAAGTTCTCAATCTTGAGAGTCAAAAAAGCAAAACAAACAAATCCAGTTTTATGTAAATTTACAGCTCTGTGATAGCTACATCCATGGCCGTCAGTGGCTCAAGCAGCCCACAGGTTAAAGACTGGAGATGCCTGTCCCATTCTCTGCCGGCAGAGGACAGATACAGGTCACATGTAGCCAGGCTGCATCATCATTGTCCTGCCAGAGGCACAGGACAGTGGTAAGCAGACCTGCTGGAGCTTTGGTTTTATGAACACATAGTATTTTCAAATGCCAAAAGTAGGTTTGATTATAATTGTGCCAAGGTTGGGAAGTGCAGAGAGACTTTATGAAATGGTATTGCAGGGGTACTTAGCCTGGTGGCAGGAGGACAAGAAAGGTTTCTGGAGCCGTGATAATGGCTCTCCACACTGTCATCACTTGCTGGCTACACATAGAATGCCTTCTGAACAGTGGCTTGTCTTACCTGCCCTTGTTAGAAGCAGTCTGAAGAGATGATTTAGTATGAAAGTATACAAATGTCTGGGATGTTTCTGCATGCTTATTTGAAAACAACATCCCTGAAAGTCTCATGCCACTTCTGCCTGAGAGCTGATCACCAGTATTCTCCCACTCAGAGATCTGGATCTTGTTTTCCTCCATGCATACACTTGTGTGTGTTAGACAAGTGCTCTTTCCTGCTGTCTTCATGTTCTGCATTGCTATATACATTTGTATTTATGTGCTTAAAAAAATCAGCGTTTCAAAAGAAAAGGTGAAAAGCTTACATGTAATCAGATCCCTCTATTTTTTTTCTTGAGAGTGTGTTTAGAACTTCGTCATTAGAGAGAATATTAGTTACAAGCTTTACCTAGTTCATTTAGTTGATTTTCTCAATTGAAAGTAAAATATAGTACCTTACAGCTCCTTGAACCCATTCTGTAGAATTCATGGCAATACCATTTAATTTCCTAAACTCATTAGGCAAATTAAAATGGGTTATTATTGAATTTAATTTTTCAGAATTTAGCCTTCTGAATATGCTTAAATGTACCTTTTTGCTAATAAATACTAATATGAATTATTCAACTAATTTTTATGTTTTTTGAAAGTAAACTTTTTTAAGATTTATTTATTATGTATACATATATCCTGCAGGCCAGAAGAGGGCACCAGATCTCATTACAGATGGTTGTGAGCCACCATGTGGTTGCTGGGAATTGACCTCTGGAAGAGCAGTCAGTGCTCTTAACCTCTGAGTCACCTCTCCAGCCCCTGTTCAAATAATTTTTAAACTATAGGTTTTATTCCTTGGAAGTTCCTAATATTTATACAGTGTATGCTGACCATATCCCTCCAATGTTGCCTTCTTCCAGTCTCCCCTAGTGCCCCAACCCGTCTCCCTCTCAACTTTACTTCTTTTTATTTTCCCTTTGGTTGTTAATATCCCCAAGTCCAAATAGTGCTGGATGTAAATAATTTTTATATATAACATTTAATTAAAAGACTGATGTGATCTCTTGAAGAAGCAGTTTGTATTATTTCATTTTAGAAAACTACATGCATGTGCATGCACACACACACAGTGCTGGGGACTAAATTCAGGACCTTATATATACTGGCAGCCACTAAGCGTATTTGACAGCAAGATACACACCCACCCACCCACACACACAGACACACACACACACACACACACAGACACACGCAATTTCGCATATACCTACCTTAGTTTAATCTTATAGCTATTCCCTCACCTGTTACTTTCCTTTTCTTCATTCTTTATTATTTGAAGTAGGTCACATAATTATCTATAAATTTTTCAGAGGTAAGGGATATTTAAAATTTTTAAATTAAAATATCAATATTAGTTCTTGAAATATCAGTAATTTATTTCTATTTGGGGGTTTCTGTTTCTTTATTTGTTTGTTTTTGAGGCATGATCTTTTTATGTAGCCTAGGCTGGCCTAGAACTTGCAGTGATCCTCTGGTCTCCCACTTCTGAATCCTGGAATTGCAGGTGTATGCCACCTTTCTTGGTATTAATGACTTACTAATAACAAATATCTATCAGTTTTCAAGTTCAATTTAATTTTCTCCAGTATCCTTTCTAGTATTTATGCCATCCCTTTTTTACACTTGATCTTAGCCAAAAGCCAAGAAGCAATGATACCATTACTTCTTAACTGATACTTCTGTAGACGTATTGGCAATTGTGCCCTGTGCACAAATTGAGTTTGTTTTCTAGCATAGAAGAACCAATGAGAAAATACATCAACTTTGATCCTTTGCACATTTATGTTTTCATGTCAGCATTTTGTGTGTATATGCCATTGAATATGTTACCCCTTTAACACATGCTTATGGGTTGACAGGCAGTATAATGATGG